TTGTTCGCTCCTGCAAGTGGGTTCACTCACTCGTTCGGTCCCTATTACCGAACTCGTAACAGAATACTGAGCCATTTAACATGGACCCAGCAGAGCAACAGGAGATTCGCTCGGCTTTGGATCAGCACGGACAAGCCGTACTCCAGCTCCAGGCTTCTGTCCAACAGATCTCTGCGCACCTGTCTGCAATGCCGACAGGAGATTAAAAATCAGAACCAGGTCAGGACCGGCAGGGGGAACAGGAATAGGAACAGAAACAGAAACTTAAAACCATGATGGAGCCAGACGCATCCAGGACCCAGGCTCGCATGATACGGAAACCAATGCTGAGCCCAGATTGGCGTCTGCATCTGGCTTTTAAGGGGGAACTGAAAAGGGTCTGGAACAAAGAACAGGTGTGGGGAATGAGGCAAACAAGGAAGGGCTGGAGCGCCCTTAAGAGGAGGGGTTTGCGATCGTGACATCATCCATCTCAGTAGTATTGCCAGGCTACCTACGTTGTTTCTGACTGTAGCAGAAAAACCTGGTCAACACATTCATCTTTTCTAGAATTGTTTACTGCAATGCCCTACTTGCTGGGGTATCTACAGTAAATCCACACTGAACAAAGCATGTAATCACATTACTCCTTTCCTGGAGTCCTTGCACTGGCTTCCTGTCAGGTTTCATGTCAACTTCAAAATCCTCATGCTCACAGATATGGGTCTACATGTTTTGGCACCTCAGTACCTGACTTATTATCTGCCTACTGCCCACCTCACTAAATAAATTGTAAGGAATTATTATTTCCTAATCCCTTGTTTTCATATATGCTAATTGTGTTATCTCCTGTCCTTGTTATAGTTCTTTTGTTGGAAGTGTTTTTTGTACTTTTACTGTAAAGCACTGTGAGAAGCTACTTTTAAAGGCACTAAATAAAAATATGTTATAAATTAAAATTATATTGTAACAAATATATTATATGTAATACAAATATATTACGACTATATTACAATATAAAAATGGAGCCATTGATAAGCATGGTCAGTAGTTATTTAGCATGGTTAAACATATCTGCTGTATTATTGTGTCATCAATATACTGTACTGTACATAGAAGACCCCTTGCATTATTGTACATGTAATGACGTAATCAGATTGATTATGGAAAATAGTGGTGACTAACTGGTGGTGGCTAATGTTACTGTTAACACGTTTACATTTTTTTCTCTTTTTAAAATATTGTAATCACCAGATTTCACTCGACATAAGGAGAATCTCATTTAAATGCTTTGATTACAAGATTCTCTGATTTTTCCTTCATTTTCTATTTACAGTATGCTTTGTTTTTAGTATCAACTACATATAATTTAAAAATCCTTGTCTGAATATTAAATAATAAATTTCTTCAGCACATTTTATACACCACATTTTTTATTGATAGCTCTCAATACTGTTGAATTGTTTTTTAAAACAACATACAGTATAGGACCATTGTGTAAACTAGCCTATAAATTTATATTAGAATGAACATTAAATTCACACAGCAATACTTTAATATCCACAGAAGTGTGCTATTGCGAACCAATAGTATTTTCAATAATGGTTAAAAACATATCTAGAAATGATCAAGTGTTCTGTAGTACTGCTTCCTTTATATGAGTATTATCATTATTATATTTCATATGAGGATGGAGATTTAAACCCCGTTCTTTCTAGATGCACAATCAGCCCTTTTCTGTCTGAAATAAAATGCAATGGAGTAGTACCCTGGAGAGTAAAGTGTTGACTGTGTCCCCTATTGTGTGTTACTGATTCACTTTCTGGAATGGAGTAGTACCCTGGAGAGTAATGTGTTGAATGTGTCCCCTATTGTGTGTTACTGATTCACTTTCTGGAATGGAGTCGAACCCTGGAGAGTATTGTGTGTTACTGATTCACTTTTGTCTCTAGATCTCAGATGCCCTGATCAAGCGGGTGCAGTCATCGCAGGAGCAGTGGGTGAAAGGGGCGCTGGAGCCCAAAGTGTGCCCCGAATTTGACCTGTCCCTCAACAGTGAACCCCTGCTGCAGTCTGTACACCAGCTGGACTTCATTCAGGTCAAATGTGAGTGTCATTTTTCTTTCTTCATACCAAGATATTTCATTAGCATTCAAATATCTTTTATTACTGCTCATGTATCATGTGAGCAATGTTCCCTCTAATTTGTAATGGCCTGTGTGTGCCAAAATTTCAAGTTGTGCAATTTTTTTTCTAGTGACAAAAACTTGTGCACACTAAATTCAGTGTATTTAAAATTGATCCAAAAGACTGGGACAGTGATTCAATGAGCCCAGACATAGAGACTGAGTGTTGAGCGAGCATGAGAAGTGAGGTACGAGACTATGAGAGCATAGATATCGATTATCGAGTAGCAATAATAATGCACACAGCCAAGTTGGGCCTCTTGCAGCCAGTCACATGTGGTCAATTTTGCATTTTTCAATTGACAACCATTTTGGTTTTATTATTATCATTTTTTAAATTTATTTTTTTGTGTGCAATTCAATTTCCTATGTGTTTTCATAACCTGTGTGTGCTTGAACACACGCGCACAGCTTAAAGGGAACATTGCATGTGAGCCATCTTATTTTCTGAAACAACTTGCTTAGTGCTCTTTTGTGGTTTAGTAGTATCACAAAAACAGCAGAGCAGGCTAAGGCATGTTGTTCAACCCTGGTCAGTGTCATTAGCTTACCATGACCAACAAATCCTTATGTGCAACTTCATAAGTTTGTGGTGTACAGTTTTTCTCAGGGTTGGGTGGTCCTGAGGTTTCACTGAATTGCCAGGCAACAGCAGACACCTGAGCTGTGCAATCAGCAGTGTGTGAAAGGTAAGGGTGGTTGATGGTGAAGGTTCCAGAGGATACCTCTTATCTCAGTTTACTCTATTATCTATCTCAAGATGTTGATCTGAGCTGAGATGATTAGGAAAACTATAAATAAGGTAACATATTTTACATGAGCAGCTGCTCTCACTATTTATGGGTCAGTCCAGCTTCCTACTCAGTCTTTTCCATTTGCAGGCCAAGGAAATGTCTACTTTACCTGTACAATTCCCACATGACTTTCTCCTTTGTTGGACCCAAACATTTGTAAAATAAGCCAAATAATAACTTTTTGGTTAGTTTATATTGCAGCATGAACTTTCCAAGGACTGTTGTGTTTTAGTCAAGAAATTAAAATCTGTTAGTGTTTAAGATGGAGTGATTACTTTTAGTTTTAAAGTTTGGTTCACTTTTGGAAGACCCTGCTTGACTGTGACACCTAATATAAATGAGTGGTGTTTATTCGTTGTAATAAAATAACGGTATCACAAACTTACATGTATCCTTCCTACATCAGTGCAACAGTCCCACTCAAAGTCTATCTTTTGGTATCTCTTGACATACTGAGGCCAACAAAACACTCTTGATTTCATAAAACAGGAAAAAATACACAAGGAACCAGGTCTGGTGAACAGGGTGAGGGGCTCATTACTTGAACCCCCAGGTTTTAGATATCCTCTGCAGACACAACAAGCAGGTGTAGTGTCCTGATGGATAGTCCATATTGTGTGTGCTTACTGGCCACTTCTTCTGGATTGTCCACTTCAGAAGGACCTTGAATACAGGTGCAAAGATCACACCAAACACACTTTTGTCCCTTTGGCACACAGTGATCTAGTGATGCGAGGGTTGTAATTAACTGTAACTGAGTTTTAGGAATCAATCAAACATAATACTTTACTGTCTCATACACAGATTGTAAGGATACAGTATACAATATAATTATGATGCAATTTATTGACAATAAAAACATGCATAACAAACAACAAACACAATAAAACATGTTTTTGAAATTATCTGCTACAGTATGATACAAATGGCTGATCAATCACTCAGAGATTACAAGGAGAAGAGTCAATAACTTCAGAGTTAAAATACTATAAATTACTATGAAGTGTTATGGTCTGCCTCGTTTTTTCAGTCTCATGTAATTACATTACATTCATAATCTCAGATGCAAGTAAATGTGCATTTACTTTTGGGATCTAAACTTCAAACTTGGAATAATAGTTCAACTTTGAAGAATTATAATGTGAATAAAAACATTCTATATTCAAAGTTCCATTGGCCAAACCTCCTTTTCCCCCTCAGAAGACAGAGCTGGAGTGTGTTGGTTTGTGGTCTGACTTGGCAGCTTTTTACTCTGTTCAGGGAGCTTTGCCTGGCATTGCTGGGGGCAGCTCTTACAGAAGTTAGCATTGCTGAACTTTGGACTTAAAAACAGTCTATGAACGCTTATCATTTTGAGTTTGGCCACAGGGTAGACAAGTGGGGATATAACTTATCTACAATAATTGGGGGTTCTCAAACACAAAAATAAATAATTATTTTCTGACTTAGTAAAATAATATGTGTTGCTGTTACTATGGTTATTTGCATTACCTCTCTCTTCATGTTGAGTGAAATCAAGCAAATTACTTTCATGGTACTGGACTGAGCTATTGCCATTTTCAGCTGAGGACTCTCAGTGAGGTTCTACTTTGAACATGGTGACATTGTGTTATAGTGAGATCCATATTTCATCAGAAGTTACCACTTATCCAGGAATTCAAGGTGGCATCTTTTACACTGCTGACATGTTTCAGAATTGACTTACTAAAAGCAACTTTTCTGTAGCCCAGGGCTAGAATAATTTCACGGACTGATCCCACGGTGATCAGGTGCATTCTTATTTGGCTGCCTTCTTTGTTCATTTCAAAAATTCTGTGCTACAGCACAGTTTGAGCTGATAGCCCACCCTAGTTTATTCTCAATTCTTTCAATACAATGCTAAAGCTATTCCATGTACTTATGCGCCCTTATCTGGTTGTATTTCCTAGCAGTATATGATTATAGCCTGTTGTCCCTACTTTGCATACCTAGATAGGAACTGATTTGAGTCTCCACACAAAGACTACTGCACCAGGACTGACACAGACCTGGTGCATCTGAATCACAAGTGTTAACGTAGGAAGACCGAGTGGAGTTGGTCAATATAGGAAATTCAATCACACCGAGGCCGCCTGTCTGCTGAGGCACCCCCATTCATTTTCTTACCATCCTTATAATACAATCATGTAGTATGATTCAGAGCAGTTGCAGATGGGATATTATTTTTGCAAACTTTGACCAATGTAACTTCTAGGTTCAAACTTTTTATGCAGTGTGGTTTAACTTTCTCATGACGAGTCATGCATATTAAGCAAGTATATCCTTTACATTGACTTGAAGTATGAAATTGAAAATTCTTTTAAGGACTAATGCTTCTCAGCTTGCATGGAACAGATGTCACACTCCTGTGCCAGTACTGCACTGGGTGATTGTGATAGACATATTGGCTCTGCTGAAAGCTTTTGCTGAAAGCCCTAACAATGCTTTGTAGAGCTTGCCAAGCATTCCTAATTGGTTCTCATTATAATTTATTGAATAAAGAGAACAAGTCTATGACTGACGTACTCTTCATGGGGCAAATTTATTTTTGTATTATAGTAAATTTAAATATGGATGTTGGAAACCCATTCGATGGTCTTTTGTCTTTTTATTGTTCATAGCTGTCAATAAGAAATTTCAAGAATATTTGCCAGTGAAAAGCTCAAAGCTTCAAAACATATTGTCCATATTGTCTGGCAAAAAATGTGATTGTTCCCCCAAGGCCATAACAATCACAAATCAGTTTATTTCTTTCCATTAGCTGGCGAAATTTCTCACTACTTTACATACTGTATATCAAAGAAACCTTTTAATGATGTAACATCATGCTTTCACTTGTCGACAAAGATTTTTTGGAGAATAAATAACTTTTGAAGTAATATAATGTAACTTTAAGTGTAAGTCGTGGGAACTGTCTCAATAGTAAAGACACCTTATAAAAATAAGAGATGTGCACATCAGTTGTACAGAACTTTTATTTAAGCACCATAGGATGTCATGAGCATATTACAGAAAGGTCTTCTTTTAAATTAACTTTTAATATTAAAAAAATATTGAATTGTTTGGAAATGATTAACTCTAAATATACTTTTCAGTTTAAGGAAGAAATTTATAAATGACTCACATTAACTCATTATCACAGGCTCTGTTACAACATCCAATAGGCTACTATGATACAGGTAATAAAGGATCTAATCTTACAAGTAACTAGTGATTTACTAAGCACTATATTTAGTACTGGATGGTAGGATGTGTGAATTTGATGTGTCCTAATGTCATAAGCTATCCTAAACATATGAATTCTAGAAAGAACACATAAGCTAAAAATATCATATAGCTCCAGTACAAAATATTACATTAAAAAGTAAATGTTAAAATAATGTTGCATCGTTCATTTTGTTTCCTAATGGTATATTGCCATTATGGTTCATCCAGTGTTAGCTGCAGATTGAGTGATCTATATAAACACTCCCACAGGTAGATTTCTTTAGTATTAAATGAGCTTCAGAAGAAAAAAGAATATTGATATTGGACATTGATGAATATTTTTGGCGTCTAAAGCACTAAATTCGGCAGTGCATTTGAGTGTTTCCTCTGGTTTGTTTACTCCCACAGTCCAAAAAGATACTGACAAGTTAATTGACATCTGGGAATATTGCCCCTGGGGTGAGTGTGTGCATGTCAGTGTTTGTGTCAGTCTACCCAACGATGGCATCCTGTCGAAGGTGTACCCTGCCTTGCGCCATTGCTTGCGGGATAGACTCTAGCTCCCTCGAGAGCCTGAATTGGAGGTGGGGGTTAGAAAATGGATGGATGAATAAACACTAAATCACCTCAATAGTGGGAGAGTTTAATTGGCGAAGATGATGAGCTGACTTCAAGTTTTCAATGTCAAAACTGCTGAAATCAAGACAGACATGTAAAACATGTAATATGCGGATCAAGAGATCATTGCCTATTTTCCAGGCAATGTTTACTCCTCAGGTGAACTCTCCTGCAGTAGAATCACACAAGTTTTTGTGTAGACCACAGGTTCCACACTGTCCAGATCCCCTGATGTTTGTGGAAGAGGATATAATTGTTAATCAAAAGTTGTTTTATTGCTATAAATTGATATTTTTATTGTAATTGAATTTTTTTTTGTAAATAATGTATATAAAGTATATGTATGATTATTTAGTGAATTATTTCGGATTTTTTCTTTACTTATCAAAGTGATTTGAATCTAGCCAGTACCTATCTTGCTTTGTGTACACACAGAGGATACATTATCTGATAACGTTACACAAGCCAAGGCAAACGTATGTTACTCCCTGTTTGAAATTACGATTCAGAACCATCTGTTATGTGGAAATTAAAGTTTCAGCTTATGGTTATTTAAAATGGATTTGGGGCTTAAAACAGGGATCATTAAAAAGAGATTAAACCATATTCAAACTGGTGATTAATGGGAAAATTCCAGAACATCGAAGAAGGACTTTGAACATGTCAGTGATGAGGCATCGTCCACAAACCTTGTCTCAATTACGTGTCGTGAGAAGGCTGCAAAACAGTTTGTTTTTCCCTCTCTAACAGTAATGTTACCCGTAGAATTAGTGTATGATGGAAGATGTCCAAAAACAATCTAGTTAATTTTGTGAAAATGAGCAGGTATTTCATTCTGAAATTACATGATCTGTTTGTATGTGTTAGATATGAATATGAAGGAGCAGCACATGAAGATGATGATTCACTGTGGGTGTCTGTGATTTTCAGCAGACTCGTTCACGGTGCCCCCTGCGCCAGAGCTGCAGCTGGAGAAGTGCTGCACCCGCAACAACAGTGCCACCTTGGCCTGGAGGATCTTGAGCTTCACTCACTGCCCTATTGAGGGCTATGTGCTGGAGCTGGACGATGGCAGTGGTGGTCAATACCGGGTAAGAGCCTCTTTAACATGCTTTTGGAAGAAGCAATGAGAGGTCATTTCCTTGTAAGCCTTCTACTGTATATAGGCCCTGTTTTTGAGTTACTCAAATACATTTTGGTGGTATAAATCTGAAATGGAAGCTTTAGCGTGCCAGTTTTTCTGAGGTGTGAAGGAAAATCCATGGAGTTGAAAATAAAAAGGTGATGATCCCACAGCCAAAAAATTATGTTTTCTTTCTTCTCTTTACAGCATGGAATAAACCTATTACTCGTTCTTTTGCAGCCCATGCATGCTGATGCAGCAACCCACCTGAACATCTTATTTTACTGCTTGAAAGTAAATTAAAAGTATCTAAACTGACAGATTCAAAGTACTTCCCCCTAAATGTTACCCCACTAAATGAGACAAAATTATAAACCCACTGGTCAAAAAATTTCTGGTCTTCAAACTCTTCTTTGTTCTGCTCAGTAAAACCTCGTCAGCAAGTACTGAGATTATAATTTTCTTATTATTGTGTGGTTAAAATTTCGGAGTTAATCAAAGTCTAAACCAAGATATTGTTCAAATAATAAATTGTTATCTTCGTACATATTTTTGTAATCTGAAGTTGTTTAGTTTAATAGTTTTTAAATTTTTAATTGTTTACTTGTTTTAATAGTGTCCTATTAATTTTTGGACTTAATTGGTTGATGTAATTGAGCTAGCTCTCAGCAGGAACCATGGATAGAAACGTTTTTCTTCCCATTTGTGCTACCAATTGCTAAAGTAATTAGGTAATAATTTTACCTACTGTAGGTGGTCAAAATGAACATTTGTCATCCCAATCATTTAACATCTAGTGGTTTCCTTTTATACAGATTGTTAGCAGAAGTATAACATTATTTTGTGTAATTTCTCATGCATATGTTGTCAATGTTTTTTGAAATTATATAATAAAGTGAAACATTTTATTTTTTTCAGAAAGAGCAAGTTTATTTTTGCTACAACTTTCTGTTGTTAACTTTAGTATCACTCTAACCACATACTGTACAGTATACTGTAAGAAAACACAATCTAATTATTTTTATGCACCACTGTATTATTTCAAAACAGGGGTTTGTGTGTAAAATTGAATAAAGAGAGGTACTGTATATCATTAACCACATAACTATTTGCAAAAAACTGTACATATAGTCCCTTACATAAAAATGCAGAGTAGAGTTCTTCAGAGCTGAGATTGACTGAATGTAGTCTGTTCTTATTCTGTTAAAGGAGCAATTCTCTGCCAATCCTTCTCCTCATGTTTTCCAACTTTTGCTTTGTCTCATCCATCATGAAAGATGAATTATGATTAATCTGCAAATAGTTTATTCTTGTTTAAAATGTAGTACAATTGCCTAGCCATGCTTACAGTTTCCAGGACATGATAAAAACTCATGACAGATGTAGAAACTATCCCAAGGCTGCCCACTGATTTCACGTCAAATGTTGGTATACTTTGATATGAAATTTAAACATTTTGATACATGGGGTCCACGTTATTGTAAAAATGTACAAATGTAGCGTAAAAATTCTCTGTACTTGAGTAAGTTATTTTTGTCTTGTATCTTGTGTATTTTTTAAGTTAAGTTTGTTCAAAATGTCCCTTAATGTTTAACACAATGTTAAATGATTGATTAATCAAGATAAAAATAAAAATGGTTTATGTATACAGTACATGTCCAGAAATGTGGTTGTACTATGGTCGTTGTTGTTATGATTAACTACAAGTGAAACACTTAGTCTAACTAAAGGTCACTATCCTGGCTCTTTCAATTATTTTTATGGGAAAAGCCAACCTGCTTTAAGATTCAGGGGTAAAGGTTATGCTCCTACAGTATGCTTCCTAAACCTCCATTGCTCTCTTATGGGCAAGAATTCCCTTTTATACACCACTTCACTTGAGGTCACGACTTTCTGGTCCCAAACCCCTACAAATACAAACAGATCCCCTGTGTCACCTAGGACATAACTGTATATTACCCATTTGAATTTTCTGGTAATAATTTGTTAGTCCAAAGGAATAGTTTATGGCTTATAAACTATTATAGTTTATAGTACTGTAGGTAACAAACATTTATTGTTTGAAGACTCTCGGTGTAGTTTTTCTCACTGAAATTTAGCAGTCATGTTTGAGAAGCTGCTCTCTCCTGCCTGTTTAACCCAGGAAGTGTATGTGGGGAAGGAGACTGTCTGCACAGTGGATGGCCTTCACTTCAACAGCTCTTACAACGCACGAGTCAAGGCTTATAACTCCTCAGGCGTCGGACCCTACAGCAAAACAGTCATTCTGAAGACGTCTGATGGTGAGAAAGCTTTCTCGGAGAGATTTAGCATTTATGCGTTCTTGCTCTAGAGACAAGAAAGTTAATTAGATTTAGACATCATGACTTTATCATATGGTAAAGAGACTATTCTAATTTCAAAGAACACCACATTGATTCATCTTAAGTTTTCCATGAAAATGTTTTTCTTTATCCATGTAGATTCACTGCTCCACATTCAAATACACACTCTCCCAAAGGCCTAATAATGTCAAACGTAACCTGTATTCTTTTTGATACTATACACAGTCTGCCAGCTATCTCCTGTGTCTCTCTTTCAGTGGCGTGGTTTAGCTTTGATCCCAGCTCGGCTCATCGAGACATTGTTTTGTCCAATGAGAACCAGACCGTGACCTGCAGTAGCTACGATGACAGGGTGGTCCTGGGTACTGCGGCCTTCTCTAAAGGAGTGCACTACTGGGAGCTCATAGTGGATCGCTATGACAACCACCCAGACCCTGCCTTCGGGATAGCCAGGATCAACACAATGAAGGACATGATGCTGGGGAAGGATGACAAAGCCTGGGCCATGTATGTGGACAACAACCGCAGCTGGTTCATGCACAACAACTCCCATACAAACAGGTACTGTAGGCCTGAGGTATGTCGTGTTTGCCTGTAAAAATGTATTACCCCCAACCTCTACCCAAAATGTTATTATTGCTGTTAGTGTATATGGAATTGTTCTGTTGTTGTTTTTTTTCCACTGCCTAGGTAAAGTCAGTCAACAGCCAGCTTACAACTGAACTTTGTAATTTTAAAATATGAGACTACAGACATACTGTATGAGAATAAAGACATCTAAGAGGCAGCCTAGTTGGAAATAAAATTAAAAACAAATACTTATTTCAGTTAATTATTTCAGTCAACTAATGTTAGCAATCTCTTACTTTATTAAAAATACTTACATGCTCCTGTTATTTATTCAAGGTGCTATTAATTAACATGTTATTGGTGTTTTTTACACAAGCAGTGAACCCTAAGAACAGCTTTACATTTAATTAATTTTGGTCTAATTGTGATATCAATCTCATCAATATATTATTGGTGTATTATCCATGTAAAACAGTGTTAATTTGATTAGGTATTTTTATAGTGATTTGGTCAAACAACCAAAGAGTAGCAAAGAATAATGCATTGAATTTACATGGTACGTTTCATGCCAAAGGAGCTGAGTTGTACTGTAGTAAGAGGAACCACTTCACCGCTGAAGTACAGCGCACAACAGTCCCAGTGAATAACTGACTTCACTTTAATTAAAGGTGGCTGGACTGTGTAAGCAGTGTCTGTGTTCCCTGTGTCCTTACTAGGGCATTTGAAATTCTGAGTAAGAGGGAAGAGTGCCACCTACTGGTCCACCAGCACCACTTAAATAGCAGGCTACTTCTTCTCAGAGGTCTCCCATACTAGTACGCACCTGCCCCCCACCATACTTAACTTCTGAGATCTGATAAAATAAGGCCACAAGGTGGTAATATTGCAGTCAGTAAAACAGGAAATAAGCAGTGATATTTTTTGCACTGCATAGACAATAAAATAAATTTAGTTAGATTTTTGAATATAATTTGGAAAAAAACGGAATGATCTAAAGTTATTTTTGTTGTACAATTTTATATTTCAGCTCATATAAAAGTGTGAGAATGAACTCTAGCCTGTGCACCAAATTTATTGATTTTAAAATTAAATACTTTATTATTAATTTTGCTTCATTTCATTCAATTACTTATCATTGCTGCATTTAGTGTTTCTGTGTTTAAGTTTTAATATTTGCATTCACTGTGAGTATCATTTTGGATTTTTATCTGCAATGATTTTTTCATTTCACTCATTAAAGTGTCGGGTGTAGAAATTGCAGGTAATAAACATAGAAATACACATTTTTTGTGTTCTGATTTTCATATAGAGTTGTGTATGTTGTCCATTTTCTAACCACTTCATCCAAGCAAGCAATGAGTGGAAGGCAGGGTACACCCTAGATGGGACACCAGTCCATCGCAGGGCAAACACAGACAAGCACATAGTTCTCCCAGAATCCCAATAACCTACCAGTATGTCTTTGGACAGGGGGAGGAAACTACAGCACCTGGAGGAGATCCACATGAACATGGGGAGAACATACAGTACCACACCTAGTCTGGAATTGAACCCAGGGCCCTGGTTCTGCTAACCATTGCCCCACAGTGCCACCCCATGTTTAGGATTCATTCACTAAAGTAACATCAAATGGCTTATGAATTTTCTAATAAAAAAAGTCTACATAAAGAAGCAGAATTCTAATTGCTTTATACACACAAAGCCTAAGACTCAACTCTTTTTAAGCAGTTACAGTATCCTCAGTGTTGATGAACCCTTACAGCAAGGCTTGTGTGGTAACTGATAATCTTTGAACAATATCACGGAAATACCAAGCTTCATGTGATTCTGATTTCCATTCTCCAGGGCAGAAGGAGGCATTGCGAAAGGATCCACAGTGGGCATCCTGCTGGACCTGAACAAGCACACCTTGACGTTCTTCATAAACAAGGAGCAGCACGGGCCGGTAGCTTTTGAAAACCTGGATGGCGTGTTCATGCCAGCAGTGAGCCTCAACAGAAATGTGCAGGTGTGTCCACCAGGAAGCAGGGGAATTATGGGTAAAGCTTGGGTTAGGATTTGAATCCGTGCTGTTCAGATCTTTTGGAGGAAAATGACTCACTTTGTCAAATGTCAAAATCATCATTTATTCTTTACTTTTAATTCCCCCCCCCCCCAATTTGTGTTTTTTTTGTAAACGTTGTGTGTACAGTATATTAGCATCCATGGCTCATTTATTCTCTTTGGTGCTCACAGTGGACTAACCACTGATAAGCTACAGTATGTGATATCACATGAAAAATGAACCATTGCGGTGTCATTGGTAGATAGTTTAAGTTTTCTAAATGATCCCTGGTCATTAACCGAGTAGATTCAGTTAATTGGATATAGTTTACAAAGGTTTTGGAATGTTTTATTGATTAGCCTCTCTGCTTCATGACCAGTGAATTGTTACGTTATACTGGTTACAGTGTGTAACACTGTATGGTTTCCTATTATTTTCTTACCCTGTATATAGGCAAGTTAGTACATATATACAACTGCCCTCTAGATTTATCCATATCCTGATTAAAAGTAGACATTATACATTGGAATGCTTTACTGAGCAGATAATGTGTCTTGCTTTAAACATTCTAAAAATGTAATAATAGCTTTGCACAGACCAAACATTTGCCAGAAATGTGTTCAAATCCAGAAAACATGAGAGTCTCATTTATGCACAGCCATGTAGTTAGCCTTTTGTAAATATTTTTCTATCTTGGACGCCTCCTGTAACATGGAGTGAGATTTTGGCACTAATGATTGGGGAATCTTAGACCATTCTGCTTAGGTCTTCCAGACCCCTTGATTTCCATTTGTGAACTGACATTGTGAGTTTAAACCACAGATGTTCAACGGGATTGAGGTTTGGAGATTGAGATATCCAGTTTTTATTGTGTGTTCAGTAAATCTTTCAATTGTTGATTTGGATGTATGCTTTGGATCATTATCATGCTGGAATCTCTATTTTTCACCAAGCTGTTGTCATTCCCCCTGTCTTAAAAAGGGCTCTAGGAACCATAGATGCAAAAAAATCATTAAATATAATAGACCCTGCACAGAGGGCATAAGTGTGTCACCACATGAGCCTTACCTTTTTTGCATCTAACAAAATAGTTGAGCACATCTAAAAAGTTCCTTTTTTGTTTCATGTAACCTTCAGACATGGTTCTATCTGACATTCAGATGGCAATTTGGAAGGTCGAGTCAGTTATTTTTGTGGTTCACTTTCAGTATAGGATTCTTCCTCAAAACCCACCAAAAAAGCTTATAGTCCATGGGGTACACTTGTGTGCTCTTCCTTACATGTTTATCACTATTGAAATTCTCAATAATGGATGCTACAGTGGAAAGTGGTAGATTACACTTTTGTGGATTTTTATAGCCATTGTAGAGCTAAATGACAATTTCCCTGCTTTAGATAACTCAATGGCCTTGAACATGATGCATGCTAGTGCTGAATGTTTTTCATGTGTTACCTTCCATAATACCAAAGGGAAATGGGAAACCTGTGAACTCTCAAGGCTTCTCTGCACTTCTGGAACCTTCCACTGCTTTTCCAAAGAGAAAAATGTTATTGTAGATTTATCTTTTTGTTGGAGTTTGTTTAAATAAATATTTAGTAGTGTGAATCAATGTAACCCATGTTTTCTGGTATTCAATGTATTAGGACACATGTGACTTTGCTCTGTGCAATGGCACTAAGATGAAAGCATACAGTAACATTTTATTTTTTTAAGTTCGACTCATTATCCAATCTGTGATGCATTCTGCTATAAAATGTTTTTTGTGTTTTATTAGAGGCATTAGTAAACCTGGAGGACTGTGTATGTGTATGTGTAAATTTCATTGTAAATATTAATGAACAGCAAGGTGGAACAGTGGCTAACATTGCTTCTGACTTCAAGTTCTGGACCTGGGGTACTATCTGTATGGAGTTTGTATGTTCTCCCCATGTTCACATGAGTTTCCTCTGGGTGCTCCAGTCTCCTCCCACATTTCAAACTGGTAGGTTAACTGGCATTCAAGTGAAACTAGCCCTGGTGTAAGTGTGTGTCTGTCTGCCCTGCGATGCACTGGCATCCCATCCAGGGTATATACCGTCTTGTGCCCATTGCTTGCTGAGATAGAGTCCGACTCTGGCTCCATTTCTACCCTGACGTGGATGAACAGGATAGAAAATGGATTGTTAATCATTAATTCATTATTACTAGAACTATCTTCTGTAACACTGAATACCGTAAAGAAAATATTTAGATTTTTTTTTGCTAAAATTGCTAACCTGTTTCAGTGTAAATTGTATGTTGTATTAATGTCTGGTAATGTTTACACTTACATTTATAATGTATGCTGTCACTCACTGACTGCTTTAATTCTTGTTTCTTTCCCAGGTGACACTTCAAACTGGTCTGGAAGTGCCAAAGAATTTGAAGCAGATGTAGGTTCATTCACTACTCTTAGTCTGTTGATATCTGCATCCTCTGTGGGCCAGACACCATGGGATGTGACAAGGACCCCATTGCTATGCCATTTAGGGTAATTCAGAATGACTTGTTTTTGAAATGTGCTGTAAGCAGGGAGTTACTAATACCAGATGCCAGCTAAACTGTGTTTTGACACTATTACAGCACTATTACAGTGTATGAGTACACAGTGTGGAGACCAAAACAATAACAATACAAACATCAGTTTAGTACTGTAAGTAGCCAGTGGAGCTGATTTTGGTGGAGTCTCATATTTGAGTATGAGGGAATGTAGTTAAATATGCATACTGTCTTGAGCTGATAAATAAATCAGTTGATAAGAATGCAACAAATAATCTCTATTGTGTAATTGCCTATTACACATTACATATTTCATGTTGTTTATAGGACTACTGCAATTCACCTAATGTGAGGAACCCTTCTGTGAAGATCTGTTCTGAAGTGTATTCACTGATGAACAGGCAAACATGTGCATTGTTAAAGAGAGTTCTTTCAGGTTTTTTTTGTTTAAATCAAGATGTCAATGTTTTAGCCACACCTTTTTACTGAGTTTTTAACATGTTCAGGACAACAACCAAGATCTCCTTCACTTCTGCTTTTAACATCTAATCCTCCATGATATCACGTCTTGAAAAGTTATAAATACCACAGTAAACTCTCTTCCTTGAATCCATCATTCCACACAGGGGTTCTAACTTCCTCATCCTACGGCCAGGGCATTCAGCCTCAGCCAAAGCTTCTCATTGCTGTCTAAACTCCTAAAAGAATTTTCTTATAAGGTGATGTTTTTCCTTGTGAATTCTACATCATAAAAACAGATGAACCAACAAGTAGAGTTTACTGTGATCAGAGATGTGATTGAGTAAAAAAACAGCAGGTTGAAGATACTGTACCCAACTCAAGCCACAGGCTCCCCACCACATTGGTGGTAGTGGAGGGGAGTCCCCATTACCTGTAAAGTACTGTACTTTGAGTGGAGTGTCCAGAAAAGCACTGTGTAAGAGTAAGGAATTGTAATTATTAACTCTCAACAAATTGAGACCTGCTATTAAGGGATTCGGATTCCTAACCAGCTATACTAGGCAGCTAAATCTGTTATGTTTGGATATATGGCTCAACCCACTCACCAAGTGAAAACCTTCACTGTTTTAACCATTTAGGAGCTCAGCAGTAAGTATTTTTAATCACATCCCCACTTGAGTGAGGCCCCTCCCACCTCATTTCCTCCACTGAATGGCTCCTGCAGTTTCTATCCTTTGCCTGCAGGCTGAGCTGCAGTGTTATTAAAATGTGGTCAAGAAGTATCTGGTACCAGTTCATCCCTAATTATCGGTTAAGATTTTGTCTCTTAAAGGACAATTATAGAAGAAAGCATTAATGATACAAAACAGAGGTATTTTACAGCTCAGATGTTCTCCATATTCTCAGGTTCTTCATTGTAAGCCTTTTGTCTTACTAGCCTTTGGAAGATAAAACATTATAAAACCGAAAACCTTGTGAATTCTGTCAGAAGTGCATTAAAGCTCCCCTTTGGGAGACCTTCTGAAATTGTTCATTCTGCGGGCCAGTATTTGGGATAGGATTCAGGATCCTGCTATAATAACCTAAACCTTTGTTCACACAGAGACTGTAGGAACATGATGTTGATGGAAGCTATGAGCACCTCTAACAAAACTGCTTGTGAATGCAAATGGATGTCTTTGATTGCAGTTTTATTTTAACATACGTACATTTCCACCATTAATACGTGGGCCTCTGTTATATAAGCCCACATACCTAAGAAAAAAAGACACTAACTTTGCTACTGTAGTTGTGAAGTTTCATTTCATTTTTTGAAAGAGGGCAATGGCCGTATGCTCACTTATAATGAAGTGATTAAAAGTCAGTTTGCATGTAGCACAGCTGTAAATAATGACAAGAACTGAGTAGAGACTAATGCGAAGTTTCCCAAGCATGAAATTTAAATGGAACCTGTTTATTTGAAGACTGTGTAGTGTATATATGACATTAGTGTCTCCCTTAATCAGTGTTATTTAGAGATGTTTAGTACCCACTGAGTACTATTTACAGTTTTATAGCAAGACTTCTTTGGAACCTTGGGTGTTTCACAAAATAGAATACTGTACTCCTAGAAACAAAGAAATGTAAATTCTTGTAAGCACCTAGGTCCTTGTAATATTCTGTCATGCAGCTAGAGAAACAATATCCACCGTCAAGCAAGAAAACCTGTAATTTGCTTAGCTGTAGATGTAAAATGCAAAAAGTTACAGCACACAGCAACTATGAGTCTTGACTTTAATACAGGTTAATGAACACCCTGTTGCTGGCAGCTGCCTTTTAGTTGGGACATTTGTACTTAAATATGAGTTGAAAAAACAAGAACTATTCCCTGTCCTATTCGAGTACAGCCCAGTCCAGTTGGTCATTCCTGTGAGAATCTACAGATGTCAACACTGTTGTTGTTTTTATACTTTTCCAAGTAATATCCCATAACACAAAACACCAAGAATTTCTTTTTTTTTTAGTTTGGAAAATGGCAAAATTGTTTGGTTTTTAATCGAATGAAACTCAATTATCAACTTCTAAATAACCGAAATACCATAGTACAGCTGTCGTAACACTACTGTATACTTTTCCACACTATTCATTATTATGAAGCTATTACCCTTGTGGTATTACTGAAATGTTTACTATAGTGTGTATATTTCCTGTAAGGTCATTGTAAATCTTTTCAGTTCTTACTACACTGTTTCAATGAGCATTGTGTGGAAATTATGAAGGTATTCTGTTATTCGGAGATGCATGTTTCTAGTGGTTTGGTAAATGGCAGAATGTGTATAGCATGAATAGCTGAGGGAGTCATGAAAGTGGATATACTGTATAATTGTAATTGGGATCTCTCCAATCTGGGATGTTTCCCATGTACAGCCTACAGCTATGCTATAATACATGTTAAGTGATGTGTTTGAAGATGCTCCTCCAGTTTTTGACTGGAACTGTCCCTTGCTGTTCTATCATGGCAACAAACCATTAAGACAAAATCAATTTGTACAGGCACTTTTTTGCTGATGGGTTGGAGATTTAAATCACTGAGATTTATATAGGAATCCATTTGTAGCCTATTTGCAGTGTTCTCCTGTATCATTCAAAAATCAAAATCAAAAACATCTGTCAGAAATATGCCTAAAAATTACCTGAAACCCTCTTAAGTAACCTTTTCAAGTGTGTGTGATGTAAGAAACACTTACACATTACATGCAGTATAATATTTTCTGAGTCATATCACAGAGGACTTTGATACGTAGGTAAAGAATGTAGTGTTTGGAAAATCCACAGATAGAAGAGTTCCTCACAGCTGCCAAACAGGAACTTTGGAGCTTTTGACAAGTCATTGGGACTTGCAAGTTAAAAATATAATTCTACTCTTTCACTAGCAATCTGATGACTACACAGATGCAAAATATCCAGGAGTTACAGAATTCTCTTTATTCCTTATTGACTGGAAATTAAATGTTTAATTCACTAGCATTTCTAGATAAAAAATGCCTTGACATGCTGATATATTTTAATTTAAAAAAACAGGTAACATACAGTTCTAAAAGGGAACAGCCATTGTACATTAAAACACTGAAATACTAATGTAAGATGAAGTCTATAGAAGTAATAAACAGTTTTTGAAATGGCAATATGGATAAAACTCTTCTCACAGTAAATAAAGTGAAGAGGAAAGTGCAAACTGAATTCTTTTCAATAGAAGGTAAAACATCTTTGTTTTATGCTTGAGATATATTCGTTAAACTTTAATCTTCACTTTTAATTCCTTTTACTTTTAACTTATTTGTTCACTTCAGCATTGTTCCATTATAGCACACAAAACGAATCACTTTTAAAATTCCAACAGTGAATAACACTGTCACTTAATATTTTAAATATGTTTGTACCATATTGATTTTTTAATGTAATAAATGTTGCATGTTTTATAATTCATGATAGGATTCCCTGTTGTTTGTTCAGTTTTAATATTACTAAATATTACTTTAAATGTTCAGTTTAACAGTTTATCTTAAGTACTAAATAGTCCTGGATTGTGCAGCATTAATTGGCTGCCCTCATTCTCCTAGTACCTCCTAGCCCTACTAAAAAGCTCTTTGAAATGCTTTTTTTAAAGACGCTATATAAAATAAAGTTTATTATTATCTCCTTCTAATCAAATGTACTGTTCGTTGCAGGTTATTAAAAAAACTATTCTGCTACTCTGATTTGATAACGGTGTACAAGGGGAAAAAAAAGAAATTGCCCTGAATAAATACACAATAAGTACCCTAGCTACAAAATCTCTTGCTAGAATCTACTTCCTGCTGATTCCCCAAGCATGGTACAGAATTACCAGAATTAAAAGAAGAGGGAGTGATCGATACTATGTACCCCAGTAGTCTACAGATATTGTTGGATAAACACCTGATGTTTTTCCTTCTGTGTGGAAGTGTAAAGAGCTGTAGATGTGTTTATTTACCTGTCTTTCTACAGCTCCAAAAAAGTGTCTGCTAGATAGAAAACTATGTAGCTTCTACAATTAAGCATTTCATATCAAGATAAAGATAAATCTTTTTTTCTATCCTTACAAGGATGCTTTATTACCCATCACTGGTACTTTCCAGGTAGTGAAACAAAAAACATAATGCAAATAAAATAAGTCTTTAAATAATAATTAAATAATTTTTAAAGTGTGAATCATGATAATGCAGTTTGCAGGTATTCAGGTAAACACTGCAATTAAAACAGATGGTTTATTATTGTGGTGGATCCCATTTCCACACTTGATCAAATCACAATTCAAACAAGACTTTCATCCACAGAGTCTGCTTTCATTCATGTAGCGATTCCTGGAATATCCCTGTCAACTGCTGGAGCATGCACTGTGACAACGGACAGCTTTGTAGAGCCAGTTCAGGCATATAATTTGACCTTTTGCTCTAAAGTGCTTAGGCATACCCAGAGGAGCTGTAAGAACTGCAAAACATGACTAATTTTGCAATAAATGGGTCAGATTGCATTATGTTAATATTTGTAATCTAAATGAACAAACACATTCTAGAACATTTATCTGTCCATTCCCCTAGATTTAAAAAAAAAGGCAGTCCAAAACCAATGTTAAATGGGAGGTCAAAGATTACCGCCTATAAAGCATAGTATAACAGTTAAGGTGGGCAGCTGCGTCAGCATGCGTAGCCCGCAAAGGAATAAGTAATAGGTTTATTCCATGCTGAAAAGCCTATGGAGTCTTCTTCAGGTGTAAGGTGTGTGCTCACTGGCTCCATGGCTGAAATGTTGTTTTCTTGCTTCTCTTTTCAGCATGGAATAAACCTATTGTTCCATAGTATAACAGTGCATTTCTATGTATAAAGTGAACAAAACTATCCATTTTCATAGGAATTTTAATATTAAAGAGACAGAACCCTAATTTTTTTCTCTCAGCGCCATGTGGTGACATATTCAGCCTGCTTCGAATGTGAAGTTACAAAAATGGTGATACCTCAACCAGTCCAGTAAATACAAAAAAAAAAACGACACAGCCTCAGTGACTGCTGTCGCGAACAGACAGCATTGTTATTTATGTATTAATGTAAGAATTTATTTGTATTTATTTTTAACCTCAGTACAAGGGAGTTTGTGTTTTGCAGTGATCCCAGCATGGATTCATCTTCCCAGTTGCCTTTGGGAAGAAACGCCATGGTGTTTCTGGGAATAGTCTTGTCGTGGATGTGAAGTGACAGTAGCACACTGACATCAATCGCCCTGGGGCCGTTGGGCACACTCTCTTGTCAGGCTTTCCTTCAGACAGCAGTGCCTTGAAGGTTTACAAGGCCCCGGGGATCAGCAGGACTTGTCCTCCAGGACAGGTCATGTTCGCGCATTCACTTAAGCCATGCTTTTTTTCTAAAAGCAAGCTGTTCTTTTTTCCGCAAATGTAACTGTTTTGTACTTAATGTCTTTTTAGTGGTTTGTAATATGAAATGCATTGTAATGACATTGTTTTCATACTAAATAAGGTGACAAAATTAGGTGAAAACATTTTTTTTTTCCTTTTTAAAATCAATAAACTGTGATGATATATACACATTTTCTTTTGTGTTTCATTTGGGGTTTGATCCTGATGAACTTAGTATTTTGTTTATTGAAAAAACAGTGGCAATGTATCTTACATTTTATACTGTACATAATGATTAATTTTATTTCATCCTCCAACAGTACTCATTGCCATTGCATTTTTGTGGATATTGTTTATTGAATACATTTGGTTTAAAGTTGTAAATATGCAAATTATTAGCTATGCTAGAATAACAGAGTTGGCACAAGTATGATTTTTACTAGCAAAACCAAACCCCAGGCATATTGTTTTGTGCCACTATTTTAACAGAGACTCAGATTAAAGGGACATTTTTATATTTTGCTGTTACTTGTAAAAACAAATAAGACTGATTACTCTGAGGAACTAAGGAAGTTAACTGTTAAGGAAGTTAATTCAGTTCAGTTATTACACAACACAATTTCACAAACTGACCACAAAGTGGGACTGTTTTGCCAAGTCCAGCTTGATACAATGTTTATGACAGTTTCAAGCAGTTTTAACCCAGTGTATTGTGGCGATATCATTTACAGGACCCTCTCCATCCTTAAAGGGCTGCAGTGGGCAACAGCCTGAGCAGGCAGGCACAGGGTAATGGTGTGACCACAGCCTGGATACAAAGTCGGTACACATGTAGGGGGGTAGTTTAATGAAGCCAATCAATCTGAAAAGCATGTCCTTGGCTGTGGGTGAGAACCCACATGAACACAGGGATAACAACCAAAACAGAAAACCCATTCAAACCCAGAACCCTGTTGACATGAAGTAATAATAATATTAATAAACACAGAGCTACCACTGTGCCACTATGCCACCCTGTAATGATGCAGTGGATCAGCGAGAGCAAGAGCTCTCTGGCTATTTCTGCACTTTTGAGATTTACATAAACTGAATCTCTCACAATACATCCAATCACATGAAATCACTGGATGATTTTTGTTATAAAATGATTAAATGTTGAGTGACATGGCAGCACAGTGGTTAGCATTGCTGTCACAGATTGCTGGAGCCATGGGTTCAATTTCTAGGGGTCTATCTGTGTGGAGTTTGCATCTTCCCCCCTAGTTTGCATGGGTTTCATCCTGCAAACGCCCTCCTCTGGCATCTTCCCACAGTCTAAAGACCTGCTGGTAGGTTAATTGGCTTCTGGGAATATTAGCCCTGGTGTGAGTGAATGCATGTTTGTGCACGTGTCTGCCCTGCAATTGATGGGCATCCTATCCAGGGCGTACCCTTCCTTGTGCCCGTTGCTTGCTGGGATAGACTCTGTGAGTCTATATTGGATTAAGAGATTAGAAAATGGATGGATGATTAACTGTATTCATGGAATTATACAAAAGAACAGAATTCTGTGCTTACCATTCAATACAAATTGATTGACAGCAAAGCAAAAATAGGTTTTGTCTGTTTTGACTGTGCTGTCCCATTACTTCATTACTTTTGCCAGGTACTGTACGTCATCCAATTGATTTATGTAAATATGAAGCCATGTGAGGAATTACAGGGGCTGACTTGTAGACAACACTATACAACCAATATCAGTGAAGAAATGAGAGATTATAACATTATAATTATACCAACTCCAACCAAAACTCACCTTGTTCTATACAATCATTACAATTCATGAGTAAGACACTCAAAATAGATTAACTTTATTAACATTTCTGTAGGAGTACATCCATTACCACAATACACTCATCACTTTATCACCCTGGAAGACTTAATTTTCTCTATTTCTTTAGAGCTAAGAATCAATGTCCCATTTTTAAACCGCCCCAGCTGTCCAGACGGAGCCTCACTTGAAATTGATTTTCTTTTCTTGATTCTGTCGAAACAAAAATTGGGGAAAAAAGAAATTCATAAATCAAGGATGAAAATATACACACTTTGAGGTGCATGTAATGAATCACTGAAAATGGGCAAATCCATAATATAACAAGAGCAACATACAGTTGAGGATTTTTTTGGTCAAGTATTTATTATTTGTCAATAATAAATACCATATTTACCGCATACTCCTTTATTCTGGCAGGTAAAGATCTTGGAATTGCCAAATTGGGGACTAAGAGAATTGAATCAGTTACCTGCATCTGCAGAAGGAAGGCAAAAAAAGTATTCTTGACAGACAATCTAAAGCAGTCTTATGTTACTGAAGATCATTGATGATAATGATGATTAACCACCATTGTGCCTTGTGCCACTGCAACATGGTTTTTCATACAGGGGCACCAACTTCCACATCCAAATGGTCAAACACGTAGTTTTTGCCTTCATCTTCTGAATCAAGGTTTAAGTTGACTTCTTCAGGACTACAGTTTTGTGGATATCTTTAAATAATCAGATGTTCAAGACAGAAAATGCTCTCATTGTTTTAAGAATAGTATAACAAGAGCTTTTTTCATCTTTAAAGGCAAAACAGATATTTCTTATCAGCATAAATGTATTAAGGGGAACTACTGGTCTGCCTTCTGTCAGACAGTTTAAGGCACAATAGCTTCCAGCACAGTCCCAGTTTGATTTCAACTTTCAGCTTAAGTTTCTCTTACATAAAAAGTAAATTACTATAAATACAGATTCTGTTACAGATGAGAACTAATTCATATTCATACCCATAATTCACACCGAATGCAGTTAAAAAGCTCCATAACCATGGCATGTGCCACAAATAAGATATACTGTATACTTTAGGCCTATTTTACCTTAGACTTTTCGACATTTGAAAAAAAATATTGAAAGGAATATTATAAATCTCCATGAGGTAGTGAAAGAGACTCCTATTAGAAAAAAAAAAACAAGGGTAATGACTGTATAATGATGAGGGAAGTCTGCAAACCAATCTGCTTTCCCTCCATACAGGAAGCCTAGAAGCAGACAAACCCCTTTCCTCCTGGCTGGTCATACATACCATTCATTTAGTCCAGGGACGTGACCAGTTCTACACAAAATCTTATCTGCTTCTCTCCCTTATGTGCAATCTCAGTCTTGCTGGATACAAATTATTTAACTAGTCCAGATGTGTCTCATTTCACAATTTTGCTTTCTTAATAGTTGTCTTCCTCCTATCTTCCACCTCTCAGCACCTCCCATTCCCCTGAGAATGTCCCAAGAGTTATTCCCCTCAAGACCTGTTCATCTGATTCAGACGGGTTGATGAAGGTAACAGACTGGTAAACTTTTATGGATACTTTATGTGTATTACATACACAGTGTGTGTAGTACACTGAAATGGCCACAGTTATGATATTCCAGACTGCTTTGCTATTTTTTTCTCCAGTAGACAGATCACAAGAGAGGTTTTAAACCCAAGATGTGAAATATGAATGTGAAATGTAAAACACTATACTAGGACAAAGGTTTTGAATCCAGGGTTCAAAAGTTTTCTCTAGTGTCAAGAATGTCAGCTTGATGCCATTTTTATTTTGAGCATGCACTGCAGCCTAAGATACTTCCAAAAGGCCAAGCATCTACAGGGAATAAAAAAATGCAGAAAACTGTAGGAGCGTGGGTACATTCAATATGAATTATGAAGGGGTGAATAAATGATGTTCTCTTCTCTACTGAGCTCAGAACAGTCCAGTTCACCGTTGCCTCTACTGTATATGACTATGAACTTAACAGGACAGGGGAAGGCTACACCTCAGAGCAGCAGTGTTGGGCGCAAGCACGTATGGCACTCTATGCTGTCAACTTACCGTGATTCACTTTCTCTCTTCTTCTTTTTCTTGGTCTCCTGATAAAACAAGAAGGCAGCAAGATAAAGCAAGGTACTTTTAGCACAAATTCAAACTGTTGCATACAAAGAAAGAAGTGATTAAAAACACATAAAAAAGAATGGAAGATTACAACAGTGGACATTTTAGATCTATATTACCACATGCTAACTTGGAATGGAAAAAATGTTAAATTCAAGACGCATTGCTTAGAGCTTAGCACATGAACAGATGGACCTTTTTTGCCAGACTATAAATGGTAAAATATTTTGAAAAAAACACATTTTTCTTTACAAACTTCATGGATAAGCTAACCCGCATCCATTTTTGTCCTCTTTCTCAACTCACAAATTTCATGTCTTCTTTTTCCTTCTCTTTCTTCTCTTTGATCATTTGCTGGTAAACTTTATAGTTGATATACTCCCTCTTTGGAGGCTGCACAAAAGAAGAGATGTTGCACAAGAATCTCTGCATGGTTCCAGAAGCACAACATTTGATCTTAATTATCAGTGGGATTAAGTAATTCTGTACTCAACTGAACAAATGTAACTGTTTCCTATGCAAATAACTGTGGGCCATAGGCTAAGCCTCTACTGAAATAGAATGAGTAGCTCACTCAAGGGTACAACAGCAGTATCTCACCTGGACTAAGTACTCACAAACTTCCAGTTACATGTCCAGAACCCTAAATACAGGCTGCCCTATTATGGCCAACAGGTTATTTTCTGGGAAAAGGCTGAAACCTTTAAAAAAACTACGGCATGCAGCTGTATGGTTTTAAAAATCATGACAGATTTTTTCATTTGTGAGTTCCAGGGGTCTAACCTTTGCTCCAAGCATTATCGCTCGCTCTTGTTCAAAATTCCTCTGTTGCTCCTTCCGATATCCTGTGATGCCAAATCGGTGAACTTCAAACCGGGCCTGAGAAAACAGGAAAGCAAAACAAGATGGTTTATTAATCCTTTTTGTTGAGCTTAGAAACACATAAAAATTGTTTCTAAAAGATCCAAAAACAGATGCATTATATTGCTTTACAAAATGGGTAACAAGCTTATTATCAAAATTAATTTAAATTATATTAAATGGCCTTTCCCAAAAATGTAGTTTTACAGCATATAAGTTAACATTATTCCAAATTAAATTTCCTTTTATACTGCATTATGTTTTAAAGTCCTTTTATTTTAGCTTTATTCATTGATGCACAGACTGTTGTTATTCAATTATTTCATTTGTTTTTTGGCATCCCAATTCCTTTTTATCCCACATGTCAGCTCGAGTAATTAATAAACTAATGGGGGGGTAAATCTGAATAAAAATTAACCACAAGGAGGCCAACTCATGATACACATGATACACAACACTACCGTATTGTACCTAATAAGTGATGTGGTTCTGAAAAAAACACCTTCTGCATCAGGCACAAACCTAACAAAGTAACACTATTATACAGTTGCTGTTTTTTTAAATATGAAATACCATTTATCCACCCCTTTTATAACAGCTTTATCCAATACAGTATCGTGGGGGAGAAGGAGTCTATCCTGACAAACAATGGGCTCCAGTCCATTGTAGAGCACACACAGATATGCACACTCTCACATCAGGGCCTATTTTACAATTAACCTAACGGTATAGAGGTTAAGCCCTCAAAGGGCTTGGCCAGTTGTGCGTCACTACTTGAGGAATTAAAGTCACAGCCAGCACGTGGCACAGCATGAACAGGAGTTTGGGACAAAGAAGGATGTGGTGTTTGCAATCGTTAGAACCAGATGAAACAAAGGGGCACATGAAGTAAAACCAATTATAATTATTTATTTACCTCACTTTAAATAGAAAGTACTGCTGTTTTCAAAATTCAGCATACAGGTTACATTTTAACAGGAGGATATTACTCATGCAAACAAGGAAGGCTGTAAAAGCTTTGTCAATTAAGGAATGAAAGTGTTTATTAACACCTCTTACTATAAATTTTTATTGCGGTGGCAACTTCTCTTCTGTACAAGGGTGAAGACGGATTGAACTCAGAATTATGGCAGGAGTGGGTGACTATTACATGTCACAACACAGACTACTATTATAGGACTAGATGACTGTTACAGTTTTTCGCAAACACAAACAGTTGTGTGTTTTTGCACCAACTATAGTATCATATAAATGTCCAAACTATAAGCTTTTCTTTTAAACAAGCAAGTGCAGCAGAGCTCAGTGCATTGAGCTTCTTGAACAAGTGACCCCCTTGAATTATGGACAATGTAAAACTCTGCTGCAGCGGAGTAGCTGGTCTTTTGGTGTGATGCAGTCATGGCAGTGGCGCTGTGTGGTTTTGAGCCCAAGATTGACTGGGACTGAATTCCAGAAGAGGCAGAGAGACCTGCGCTTGAGAGTTAAGGAAATATAACTGAGACCTGCAATTGTTCTAAATGCTAGCTTTCTGTAAAAAGGTAAAAAAAAGGATTCTTCACATAGTGTTCAGGGTGACATTAGCTGCTAGTACTGCTGCTCCAGAAGTCAAAATTTACATCTTAGCTCTTTTATAAATCTAAAAACACAAATACTGTCTCTGGAACTCATAACAGCTTCCATTCACCCATAAAATACCTTATCCAAGTCAAATTCTTCATTGCCTATTTGTTTGTCCTCCTTTGTTTTGGTAGCCTGGAAAGAACATAGGAAAAGGTTACAAATATGAGAAGGTTAATCTGGCTGTTAGATACAATTTCTATAATAGCTAAGCTTTCCTAAACTTTTGACAAGTAGCTTCTTGAAGGAGCCCAGAGGCATAATAAGAAAATTACTTTCAGAAACCAAACATGACCATAAAGTGAATGTTACTGCACATTCAAAATGACAAAATGCATTAAAGAATAAGAGAAATATGAATACATTTTAATTACATTTATGTCAACATAATGTAGGTATGAAAAAGAACAGTACAGTATTGCTCCCTTTTGCAAAGAACTTCGATAGGATGCATTTGTGTGACAATGCATTAAAATTATAACTGGAAGGCTTAGGGTTTGAATCCCAGCTGAGGCACTGCTGTTGTACCCTTGAGCAAGGAACATCACTCATATTGCTTCGATAACTCTGAGTGATTTACTCTATAGATGGATTCAAATGCAAATCACTTAAGGTAAAGGAGTAATTCACACAAATAAATAATACTCTTAATTCTGCTCTGATAAAAGAAACTAATAAATAGGAGCACCTCTAAAATGTTCTACCTACACACTGATGTTTCTATCACTCTCTAGGCTAATCACAGGAGTTCATGACCAAAACTGCAAACGATAATTACCTTCACAATGGGGACTGGGGTCTCTGTGATGCTTGTTTTCTTCTTTGAAGGATCTTGGAATACCACAATTTCTACTTGCGCTGGCTGCTTTTTCAATGGTGCCTGCGCCCTTTGACTGCCGGTGTCTGACTCAGCTGCTTGTCTGCTCCTCTGTTCTGACTTGCAGGAGGTTTCTGTGACCGTCTCTTTGTTGTCTTCACGACCTCCAGCACCGAGCAGTGCAGAGTCATTCACTTCCGCCTCAGTTACATTTCGGCCTCTTTTCTTTTGGGATTTCTTTTTCCTTTTCCTCCCCACATCTTCGCCTTTGCGGAAAAAAGACATGCTTGAGAAGTTTAATATTTCCTGAAAGGACAACTGAAATAATACTGCTCAGATTTGATGAGGGGGACCATATCGCATTAGGTTTTATCATGAGTTGGCTGTGAGAAAAATAAAAAAATTGCGATGCTTAGTATGTTATTCCCATTCATAACAGATATGCATTTGAAATGAGGAATTCATGAAAGATGCCTGTATTTCCCTCAGGCTCCACCCCCCATTTACATGCCCAAATCAATCATTCCATAAAGAAAAAGAAAATCTGGAAAATGAACTTTCACAATCAGTAAACTGTCTATGCATAAGATAATACTGATGCTCCATTTCAGGTAAGTAACAACAAAGACACCCAGGTTATAGCAGAAGGGTAGCAAATATTGTTAGCAGTGCATAAACAATTTTAAAAAAATGAATCAGGTCTGCAGGCACAATCAAGAAAATTTCAGTGTCAAAAAATAACAAATTGAGGTTAAGATGCACAGAAATTATTGATGGCTGTGTTAGATGACTACACTAAAAGCAGTCATGTTTCTCATGTTTGTGTGGTGGCTGCTGAAGCATCACTCCGTCACCACTATCCAGCTGCATTTTTTTGTTACATCAAGATTTCAATATCTTAAAAGCCAACTAGATCTCCATCTACCTTAGTCGGTATGTAAATCACTACACTGAGTGTCACTGCTGTAACACTGGAAGTTAACTCTGTGGTGACAGATGATCTACTCAAGTGGTAACAGAGAGCTTGAAGAGCAAACTGCCCAGAACTGAGGCTTACAGAGCACCAGATATCACTAAAGAATTGTTAGGTGCTGTTTGTCCTGTTGTCATTGCTTTTTGATTAGAAAGACAGAAGCCAAACCAACAAAGAGCAACCCCAAAGACATCAACATAAGTCTCAAGTGATTTGGGAGGGTTGTGCAATTAACTTGTCATCACTGTGGCAGTCTATGAGGGCACCAGTGTAAAGACAGACAAGGAGTCTGAAGATAAAGCCAGGAGGAGACCAAGGAACTATGGGCAGCCTGATGGATGAGGTCTCAAGAGTTTCTCAACAAATGATCTTGCAAACAGTCTTGCAGTTTACCACAGACTATAGAACTTTAACTTGTAAAGAAATACTGAAAATTGGCCTGTGGTTAGCAATAATTACTATGGTGTGTTTTTTTTTCTTGCACCAGAAGTGAAAGTGTAGCAAGTTCAGGGTGAAGATGGTATACAACTCAAATACATTAATTTGTATAAACACAGAACATAACAGCCAGGTAAGAATGGGAACAAGGCAGCAGGCTATAGAGCACATTTTATGTTCCACATCAGTCACTATGGTTTGAAATACCCTGTCAAAATCTGTATGAGGAATCCGGGTGAGGTAAAAAATTACCATTCGATTACTCTGGGTAAAACTGGGAAAAGGCTATTTTTAGTATTGCTTATTTTAAAGGGTTCGGTCATATCTCACCCTAATCTACTGTGAAATGGGGCTCCTGGCACAAAAAAGGCTGCAGTACGTCACCCAAGTGGGTGCTGCATGTGGGTGAAGTACAGTAGGTCTCCTATAATTTAAAGAGCTTTGGGATGAATGCGCTATACAAATGCAACTCGTTGTTATTATACAAAATCCCTCTACAATCAGGAAGATTGTATTCCTTATTCACCTAATCTTTCACTATTATCCGACAATTTAGATTGGACTGGTTGTACTTGACATCGTCTAAGCAAGCTGGATTAAATAATTTCGATGCCCTGCTCCCGTTTTCTAGATATAACAAGAAATGTGCCTTAACGTCACAAACACTATTAGGAGATTTGTAATAAAATGTAATGTACAGCGTGTACAATACAATCGCGTATGAAATAAGTAGTGTTACTATCAGAATTTTGTATTACAATATATATTTCAAGAACAGCAAAATACAAAATCCAGAAGTACTGTACGTAACGCTAGACCAACACCAGTGATTAATACAGAACAACTAATGTTTCAGTTTCGCAGAAACAGCTTACTTACCGAAATCATAAAGCTCATTTAAGACTGTGTCTAAAATGGTAGGATCTGCCTCTTCAAATACCTCCTCGGTTCTGTTTCGCTTCATTTTTATTTTTAATTTTATGCTTTATAAATATAAACACATCTGCTTCCCAGCGTTAATATATATTGTTCTACCAACTATAACACAGAAAACTGTATACAGACTCCATCATTTCCCACGTGGTAAAAAGCGGAAACTGCCTTTGGTTTGTCCATCCTCGGCCACCGTCAAGCTTCCTCCCACGCCGGAAAGCCGAGAACGTCTGGTGAGACAGGCACCGCCCACCAAATACCTGCTGCAGAGTGGAATGTTCTGCAAGTCTGGCGTTGGGTGTACTACCTGAGCTCAGCCTTACATTGGTTCAGGATCTATCATCAGGATTGTAACATTTCTTTACTTTTAGAATGGCATCTAAAGCATTGTATTCGGTACGTATGGTGCAAATTAAAAACCTTTATATCTGACGTTGAATAGATATGCTCCTTTTGTAATGTGTTGTGACTGCTGTCATATTTAATTAACGTATATTAGTTTGTTATACCTTTACTACACCTGCTGGGATTCAGACGGGAGACACACCAACCCCATTTCCACGACTGGGGCGTCCAAAGTGTCAAAGTGCTTTGAACTTTTATTTTGATGAAACTGTTACGGTCTTTTCCATTCATATGTTAATGACCATTTTCGTATTCTGTGTTATGAGAGCCATCGGAATCTCACAAAATGGGTTTACTTTATGGCTAATTCCACGTGCTTGGTTGGGTCCCGGATATAAAGAATGCTCTATACCTTTCCCTGCAAGTGGATGCTGACGGGCAGGGGGAAGAAAAACTTTTTATGCATGGCTTGTGATGCAAAATTATGCGATTAGGTTGATTACCTGAAAAGCAATACGGCAGTATTTGTACAATGCTCGTGTCAGTTCATAAATTGCATAACTTTTTTTTTTTACTGTGCGGACAAGCTCATATGTTTCGTTTGTTGGTAGTTTCATGCTGTGGTCTTCGTTTTCTCGAATGGAGATTTCACGTCCTTTCCTGGGTGCGTGTCGCCTTCCTTTGACAGTCCTGAACGCCAAGCTTAGAATTAACATGAATAACAAATCTTCATATCGTAAGAAAACGTCATCATAAAAAATACCATTGTGTGCGTACACCATTTGTTTCTGTTTTTATTTAAAGCAACGTGATCCTGCATTGAGGAGGAGAGACGACTTTGAAGATATTTTGGACGAGAGGCGGAACTCCAGCGATGTGAGATACGCTCTGAGATGTTACACTCCTGTGCTCTACAAGGGAGTTGTTCCCTGCAAAGCCAGCATGCTCAAGACGATGGTGCTCCAATCTGATCATCTTCGTTATGTTATTAAGCAGGTAAGGCAGCAAGATGGAGATTTTTTCCTGTGGTCCTACATTAATCAGATGCTTGTTTTGGAGGTTGTTTGGGGGTTTTGAGTCTCGCTGCTACATTAAATATTTCTCAAAACATATCCTTTTTCTCTGTTCTTCAAACCATGCCAATGGAAGTTGTTTTCTGCCTTAATTTCCATTTTTCCTTTAAAATTGTTGCATTTTGTTTTGCTCTTGAACCCATGACGTTCCAGATATTACACAAGTTACAGTTTATTAATAAAATCTTTAAGGACCTTCTAGGATTTATTGTAGGTAGTGTTTATATATTCAACATTGAAATATTCCTTGTGGAAGAGCACAGAATTTCCATGATTTTGAAATATCCAAAGCAATGACAGTACTTTGGAAAGTATTTGATAATCTGCAAGCACAATCATATACATTTCAGTTATAATCAAGTTTAATGTACTTAAAAAGTGGATACAAGGGTAGACAAAAAGATGGCAAATAAGATACAGGGTGGAGCCCTGGGCTCAGTTTCGGACCTGGGGTACTATCTGTGTGGAATTTGTATGTTCTCCCTGTGTTCACATGGGTTTCCTCCAGGTTCTCTAGCTTCTTCTCAGTCCAAAGACGTGCTGATATGTCAATTGGGTTGTGTAAAATGGACTCTGGTGTAAGGGTGTGTGTTTGTGTCTGTGTGTGCCCTGTGTCTGACTAGCAGCCTATCCAGGGTGTTGTCCTGCCTAATGCCAGTTGCTTGCAGGGATAGGCTCAAGCTCCCCCGTGACCCTAAATTGGATGAAGTGATTAAAAATGGATGGATTTAGTATAATATTTTCAGTTTCACTGGAGTAAGCTGTTTCAATACACTGTTTCAATTCTCCATATTATTGATTATAGATATCCTGGATTTATCTTGTAGCAGTTATATAATCTGATTGGCACGCTCATTTTTCTGCCAGATGAGTGGTGAAGGTGCCATTTTTACCCATGATTTTCAACTGAAATCTGGTACACTATGGTCATTAACAATCTCCAAGCATATTAGGAAAGCAGTGGGAGTGTTAAACCAAGTGTCATGGCGAAATCTAATTCCTTCTTCAGTTTGGATTAAGGATTGTTGCCTGCCCCACCCCATGAACATCCGTGTGCTCTCATGATTCATCGTGGATTTTGTGAAGAGCTTAATGGTTTTGGGTGTGAAAAAATTTGCAGATTTGTGTCTATACACCTGCAAGAAACCTACCTTTCTTAACGATCATTTTTAATGAAATCTCCAATTTTATACTTGTGCATTGTTGCCTTAAACGTAGACTGAAATGTATGCATATTCATTTATACACAGACATCACAAATATATTATATTTTAGTCTTTGGTCTAAGGCTGTAGTGTAAATTTTCACATGCCAAATAAGTTACCTATGGAAAAGATTACAGTACTTTGTAAAATTAACCTGTTGTGGGGAAATTGGTTTGAGATGTAATGCATCACTGTAAATAGTAATTATATACACTACATATGTCACTGTAACTGATTACTTAAAAAAAGTAACTTATTGTAATACATTACATTTTGAATGTAACTTTACCCAACAGTGCTAAGTTGTCACACATACAGATATCCCATCATCTACCATGAGTACAGGCCTATTTTTCTCTGTTCTCAGTTTCTTTTTTAATTTACTTTTCCATAAAGAGTATTTAAATAAATCTAATAATAATTCTTTAGTAAGGTGACTACTAACAGTGAAACGAATGTACTGTATGTGCAGATATTCTTTGTTGCTTTTTATCTGATGGGACATCAGTAAAATATCTGCTTTACTTTGTGAACCACATAATGCTTAGATGTTTGTGAAATCAATATACATATCCTTTGTACTTTTGCACTTCCTTAAACCTAAGTAAATTGTTTTGGCTATTTGTATTTCACAGCTTTTCTCCAGCTTTATAGATATAGGAAGGAAGTTGTTGATGTACTGAAGTTGTAAAAATGGCTCTGTGAATTGAGCCATTGATGTCTTATTTGTGCATGAACCTGTTTTTCCTAATGTTCCACCAGCGCCATAAAAAAGCACAAATCATGTTGTCCTAAATCGCACTCGGTAATGTGTAAAATAAGTTACTTTAAACATGTTTCTTTCAAGAGTGCATCTTTATTTTTATTTTTTTTATCTGGTGCCCCCTTGGTTTGGAACCAAGCCAGCTGTGTGTTTCTATGTCTCAAGTCGTACTGTAGCTCTCATGCCATTGGGAGGACAGGGAGTCAGGAAGCCACTGGGTCACTGGTTCTCTCACTCATACCTTAAACCTGTAGTAAAACCAGGTCCTTGAGATCCTGGCTCAGCCTGCATCACATATCCTTAGCCACAGAGCCACTGCATCGCCCCGCGCTATATCTCAGCTGAACAAAAATATTCATTGCCTTCTATTTATTAATTGTTATTATTAAGCATAGAGGATTAGCCATAAATTATTAGGTTTTTCATTTCTAGGTGATTGAAGTTACAGATACTAATGACAGAAGATTAAGCTCCTGGTTTGTTTAAGGATGTCTAAGCTCGATTCCTCCTTATCCTTTGGGATCTTGCCTAGATGTCGAAGGACACAGGGGAGTCGCCTGAGATTATCCAGGAGGAGGCAGCTGTGATCCTGGAGGAGATGGCCCACCGGCTCCAGCTCAGCACCGTGCGCTTTTTTGCCTTCGTCTTGAGCAAGGCCTTCAAGACCCTGTTCCGGAGAGTCCGAGTAAATGAGGAAGGCATCCAGAGGGTGAGTCCTTATTTCCCATTCCCTTTGAGAGATTAATATTGGTTATCCTGGAACCTAAAAAAGGCTTTTTCTTCTAGAACAAGTTTCATTCAAGTCTCGGTTCTTTGAGGGCTATTTGTTTCTTTTGAACTTTGTTAACGTAATTACAGTAATTATGGGCTCAATTGGACAATCTGATATAGTTTTTTAATATTTTGGTAATTTGTAAGGCACATTTATTTTATGGTACAGTAGTTAGATCTAAAGGCCTATTGATTTTTTCCTGGTACACAAAAGAAGTAATGAAATATTGCATTAATTAAATACAAGCATCCATTCATTTTTTGAACTGCTTTATCCAGTACTTGGTTGCAGAGCATATCCCAGCAAGCGACTGGCAGAAGCCAGGACATGCCCTTGACGGGGCATCAGTCAATTGCAGGGCACACGCAGAAGACACAAACATGCACACACACCAGGGCCTTTTTTCCCAGGAAACAATCAAACTACCAGTATGTCTTTGGACTGTGGGAGGAAATTGAGTGCACGTGGATACTATGCAAACACAGGGAGAACATACATACTCCACACAGACAGCACCCCAGGTTTGGAATTGAACTCTGGGCCCCAGTGCTGTGAGGCAGTAATGCTAACCACTGTGCCACTGTGCTGCTATATAAAACACTACTGATGAAAGTTGGCTTGCTTGATGTGTGTGCCAGCTAGTATATGCAGAATGCTTCAGATTCATCTGCATCAGTGTGCATATTAGGGGTTTGAGAAAAATAAAAGCTTTCTCTATATGTGGTTTAAGCTGTTCATTTTCTTTTTTTGGAATAAATTTAGTTATCCTTCGCAGGAACCTATTTGAATGGCTGCTAACCTTAGAAATGATTCTTTCTTGTTCTTCCTTCTCAGCTTCAGCAGGCTATTCAGGAGCATCCAGTGGTGCTGCTTCCCAGTCATCGCAGTTACATTGACTTCCTCATGCTGTCCTACATTCTCTACACGTGCGATCTCTCCCTGCCTGTTATTGCGGCTGGAATGGGCAAGTACAGTACCTTTAAAGCTTTGGCACTAAAAACTACACGCAGAGGTTTTCCAAGGTTGAAGGGAGTAAACCAATGACAGCTTTTTGCATTCTGGATGAATCAGAAGGAATCCCATGAAGACATAGTTCATCCAGATCGGCACAAATGGAATTTTCAAAATAGTTTGCAAGAGATTTGATAGCATGGATACAGCATGTGTGTATAGATCAACTTGATATCTTTATGCAGAAGGGTGGGTTTGCAGACTGTCAGCCTAATATATAGCAGAAAGAACCACTTGGGTTTTGCTTACGTAGCTCCCGACAGTCCATGTTGTTTAGTAGAATAATGAAACAGTCAAGGTACCTTGTTTTAGATTGTTTTAATCCTTGGTTCTGTGTCATCTTTTTTGCAAGCGTGCTGAAAATAAAAAAAAGCAGATGCAGGTTGAATCGTCTTCATTTGTGTTGTACAAAAATGAAATTCAGAGGCTGAGAAAACAAAACTGAGCCGATATCAGTCTGCAGTTTGCAAGATATGTAATTTTTGCACAGAAAATGTGCAAAATCTATTCCATTTGTAAAGGAGAAAATATTGAAAACGAAACTGTGAAACCTGCTGAACGTCTTCCTGTAAATGTTAAATACCTTGCAGACTTTCTGGGGATGAAGTTTGTTGGCGAGATGTTGCGAGCATCTGGTGCTTTTTTCATCCGGCGTTCGTTTGGAGGGGACAAACTCTACTGGGCTGTGTTCTCTGAATATGTGAAAACCATGCTAAGGGTAAAGACAAAGACTGCACTTCATTGTATCGTTTATGTAGATGTGCTTTATTCAGAATTTTAATTTTTTGCTGTAAGATATTCGATTAAAAGTTTTTTTTTCTTTCATTCTACGTTGCGAATTGCATTAAGTCAAATAACATAAATGTAATTTTCTTATAACAAAAAGAACCAAAATGTTGCAAGAGACAGTCCTCAATTCCTAAGTGTTTCAGTGTATTTTTTTAAGGTAGGTATTCATATCCTGGCAGGCTTTTAAAGTGATAGATGTTCTGTCCACTGGACTGTCATGGATGTTCTCTTGCAGTCTGCATGTTTGTGTCCTCGAGGTGTTTTTCCTGCCTCAAGGTTTTTCTGCCCTGTGCCTTCTGCAAATTGAAAACCAAGTGCGACAAACAGAAACATTTCCATGAAACACCGTATTCCTTTGAGAAACCTATGTATTTGTTTCCCACCGTTCTGATCAATATATGCCATTTTGTTCTCATTCAGAATGGCTTTGCTCCAGTTGAGTTCTTTTTAGAAGGAACCAGAAGTCGCACATGCAAATCCCTGACCCCCAAGACAGGTAAGCAGAATGAAACTGTTTCAGGCAACAGAATGACTGAAAGAACGTGAGCATGTAAAGAACTTTCCATCCTTTCTCCTGTGAACAGCAGTTTTAATTTTTTCTTCCCTAATTGAGTCCTCATACCCCTTTAAATAAGACTGTAAAAATTTAACATGAATAATCAATGAATAATTATAAAAAATACAACTTTACACTTAGCTCATGTATCTACATTAACACTTGGTTTTCTGGCTATGTAATGTGGAATTAAATTAGACGTAAAAATGAGAAAATCTAATAAGGTACTCAGCTAAGGAACATTTCTTTTTTTAGTGATTTAAGCTTCACAGTTGCATATTATGTGTTGATTGAGTGGTATATCTCAGGCCTGATTACATTGCTTTTGTATTTAAGAGCACTTAAAGGTAATAACAGTTAATTGTTACACAGTAATTATAAACAGTTATTAAATATGCTCCGTTTTTAAAATTTCATAATCATGCTATTCTATACAGTTCATACAGTCATTCTAATAAAAACAGGAAGGTTAAGGTTTTTGTGGGACATTTCAGTTCTACAAGGTTTTTCCTCTGCCATCTCTCATGGCATTGGATTGACTCCGTCACATCTTTAAGTGCAAAGCTATTGGTTATTTTTGTTTCCAACAAAAATACGTGTTCCAGTTATCAAGATACTAATTTTGAATTATTCTTTTTAATCATATGCAAATATTTCTTTCAATGCACTAATTTGGAGTTTTCATTTGGGAAGCTTGAAATTTCAAGAAATGTTGATCTTTAATCTGTGAAGCAAAGTTAAAATACAATAACACTTAATCTGAACACTTTTTGGATTTTTTTTTTCAGGGCTGTTGAATATTGTGATGGAACCTTTCTTCAAGGGGGAGGTGTTTGACATTAGTCTGGTGCCCATCAGCATAAGTTACGAGAGGGTGCTAGAAGAGGCACTGTACGCTCGAGAGCTTCTCGGAGTCCCCAAACCTAAAGAGTCTACCTCAGTATGTTGCTGTGTGGCCTCTTCTGAGGTTTTATCTTTAGTTTCGTATCGATTAAGCTGTCATATTCATAGAGGAGTCATTGAGAAGAATTATGCACAAGCTACTTACGGTATCTTCCACATTTCCAGAATTTGTTTAATGGCTGGAATTGTGTGTCTCCAAATATTAAGGTAAAATCACAGGTTTCCACACGAAGAGAGTTTGGGAAGTCAGACAACAGGCTGTGCAGTATATAGAAAGATAAAGAGGAGATTTCTGGACTTCAAAAGCTGTGATCTGCCCTCTTTAGTCATAAACAAAGACAAAGTGTAACAATGGCCATTGATCCATGAGGCGATGTTCTGTGAATGAATGCATGAACACTGTAATTTACTCAAGTGCTCTTTGAAATCTGTTAAAGAGCTGAAAGTGTAAAAAAATGTTCCACTCCGTGAATTAAGAACTTAATTATATCCGTTTGTTTAGGACTAACAAGTGGCTCTTCTGATTGCTTGTTCTGAGTGCAGTTTGTACATTGTAAGTTTGAGCCTTCGTCTTGGGTCATGACATTAAACAACTCTCGGGGGTTCCCTGATCAGCAGTGCGCTGCAGACTGAATGTCACCAGGAATAGGGCAGAGATTGGTAGACCGGGCTTAGTCTCTTGACATCTGCGTCTTCCCAGGAGCCTGTAGGCTTCCAGTGATGTCATTGAGGGACTTGCCACCCCCCCCAACTATTCTGTAAGTCACTGCAGAGCTTCAAAAGATGAGCGGCTCCATTGAGCATCTGTGCTTCCTTGTCTTCCTCGTCGTTGCTGTAAGCTGAGACGTAAGGAAGCAATTTGCGTTTCCAAATTGGTTGAGTATGTAATACAATCATTTGAAATTCTGAAATTAAATGAAAAATCTATTAATTTAGCAAATGGAAACGCCAGGATCATATAATCCAGCGTACATACAAAATGTGTCTTTTCCTAAACTACCTTATCAGTAGAAAATGAAGAACAATGAAGGAGTACAATCACTGTAAAACCGTGACTGGAAGATACTGTACAAACCACCTTTTTTAATAGAGCAAAAATAAGAGCTGTGTGAGAAAGCCATTGTATTTTTCCTTTTTTCTTTCAGGGGCTATTAAAAGCAAGAAAAATACTCAGTGATGATTATGGCAGCATACATGTATACTTTGGCCAGCCCCTATCAGTCCGGAGTCTGGCACAGGGGAAGATTGTCCGTTCCCATTACAACTTGGTCCCCAGGTACAAACAAGGACACAAATAGCCAACATTTACTTAACTGCTACCCTATGTGCTAACCTCTTAGATTGTTCTAGGCAGTCTCAGATACACATTTATAAGAGAAAGTACGAGTTGAGGACCAGTGAACAGTGGCTTGCTTCAGAACTCTTTGCATGGCTGAGAAAAAAGCACATTTTAATCAGCTAAAATAATATTTTTTACTTCAGTATTTCTTCATTTATCACAGCAACATCTGTACTACATTGCAGTATACAGTATGCCTACAAAGCCTACATGTTTGTAAAGGAGTGGTTCTCAAGCCCTTTGTATTATATTGACTTGTGACATTGTCAGGTTCTTTTTTTTCTTAGACAAATTCCCAGGAAACCTAGCAAAGAGACCCAAGCCTTTGTCAATGACACAGCATTCAAGATAGTGCGCCTGCAGGAAGAGAATATGGTCCTAAGGCCCTGGGTGCTGGTTGCTTCCATTCTGATGCAGAACCTGGGTGGGATAGATTTATCTCTCCTCACCGAAAAGACTGCCTGGCTGAGAAGTATAGCACAGTCTTTTGGAGCCTTCCTGGACTGGCCTGGTATGGTATGACATATTTAGAGATGTATGCCCTGTGCCATTGATTCTTAAAATCTGTCTGTATTTTAGGTTTGTTTTAAAAGTAGTGGGTTTATTTTGTAGTTCTCAGTTTTATATTATTAGTTTCAAGCAGATTCATATTTGTGTTGTCTGCCTTTGTTTCAATGACGTTAACCTGTTTCTTTTCTTCCTTCCAGATCATGTATCCATGAATAAGATGGTTTCCTCCAGTGTGTTGCTGCATCATGACATTGTGACTCTCACAGGGGGGTGTGTGGTGCTACTGGAGGGACAGCAGGGGCCCGAAAGCCCGGAGGAAGGAGTCTTCAGGCGTGCTGTCACTGTGCTCATGTGCGCCTCCTACAGGAACCAGGTGCTGCACATCTTTGTGCGTCCAGCACTGGTCTCTGTGGCAGTTCATACAACTGGCAGCACCAGGAGAGGTAACAGTATGACTTTATCTTTTCTGTCTCCATCTTCTGTATAGAGCAGCTTCTATATAGAGCAGCTTGCTGCTGAACATGGCATCATGGTAGTTTCAATAAATATCTGTAGATCTGCTGTTCTGATGTGGCAGCATGTATTTGTAGAAAATGTCTGAAAATGGGAGGGGTACCAGTCAGATAGAAATTCTGTTTTCTAATGTATCTGGTCACAACTAGATAATTATTTTAATTTTTTATAACTTTTTCTGCTGTAAGATTTTTTAAAATATTTCAACACAGCTCTTCACTCTTACTTTTCACCAAGTACAAGATATTCTCTAAGAAACTAACTTTACCAGTTGATCTTGTTTGGCCACAGATGCCTATCTGTAACCAAAACTTGCATCCCACTGTCCCACAGGCCAGTAAGCCAACTCAATGCATAACAATGAGAACACCCCTGTCGAGCTCCCAGATAACCCTTTTGCTCTTATTAGCCTGTTCATTAATCCAGAAGAGTGGCTAATTCCACACATTGCCAATCCATGCAATTTATTTCCCTCACTGTAATTTCAGGCCCCCTGAGTACCAGTTACTCATTCAGATTAGCTCTTTCATTCAATAGGTTCTCTCCAGTAACGGACATCTTGGCTCAAGGCCCCACCACTGCACCTGTACTTTGAACCAAGATTGTTTCTGTGTCACAGCCACCTCGCATATCCAACAAAAGTGACATGCTGGCTGTTTTTTATCTTTTGGTACCAAGTGTGCTGGCATCGCCACATTGCCAGAAATACTGGTTAATCTTTGATTGTGCAGCCTGAATCTGGTGCTGCTGTGGTCTGTTTGCAATTGCTTATCTTAATGGCTCTGTCATATTCCATATTATTGTGCAAAGAATAAATTACTTCTACTTACAGTACATTCACCCCATCTTCCGCTGGCTTTTCTGTGTTATGTTTCAACCATAAAAGCCAGACAATAAAAGGATACTAAGCATTTTTTAACATAATGTTAACTTATCATTTAATTTTCTGACTGTTATAGCTCCTAAGTATTTATGTCCTGGTCTGTTTGCTTCCATCATTTCTCACTCTCTTGTTATAAGAATCATTTTTTGTCAAGACATTTTCTTCTACTAATACTACAATTATGATAATTATACAACAATCAATGAGAAGGCCAAAGAAAGACTAACAGATATTTTGATAAAATTATCCTTCATTCAGATATGTTTTTGATGTTTCACTGGCAGACGTTTTTTTATTTATTTTAGAAGAAGTCTTCGGTTGTTTCAGCTTTCTCTGGAATGTGTTTGCCAATGAATTTATCCTCTGTCCAGGAAGCACAGTCCAGGTACTGTATTTGAAATCTCGGGATCTGTCAATCTTGTTGGGAAAGAGCGACAGCCTTGGTCAGAAACAGACACTACTCTTGCAACATGCTAAACACCGACAGTGAAAACCAGTAAAGGTTTATTACTACAGTACATATCTAAAATGACAGAACAAATTAACAGGCATGCATGTATAAATGTTGAAAATGTTCTAAAAAAATAAATGCATGTGAACAAAGTTTGTGAAGGACAAACCATTATTTACCATGCATTTTGAGATTTATGTTATAGTTCAAGTACTGTAGGTAGCTGCGTCAGCATGCGTAGGCTGCAAAGGAACAAGTAAAGGTTTATTCCATGCTAAAAAGAGAATAAAAGAAATTTAACGTTTTGGCATCCGAAGAAGGCTCCACAGCCTAAATGTTTCTTTTCTTCTCTTTTCAGCATTGAATAAATCTTTACTTGTTTCTTTATAGTGTTATGTTTAATTTCCTGGACAGTGGTACAAATATCACTGTACCGTTTATATAAAAGTAGATTTTATATTCAGTCAGTGCTGGAAAATAGTACCAGTCCTACTCTTAGCCATCTATACTGTCCTGCCTATGTGATCATGTTGTACAACTTTTAGATGCTTTCCTTTTGTGAATTGCCTTTTGAGGTCAGATTTCTCTATCTAACCCAGCAGACACTGGGTGCATTGTAAGAGCACACTTTTGATGGGATGTAGGTCACATAGGCACACTAAGGGCATTAGGTATACCAGTTAATCTGCAAAACTTGTTTTGGTACTGTGGGAGGAAACTGGAGTACCTTGAGAAAACTCACCTGGACACAGGGAAAACATGCAAACTACACACAGATATCTCTCCAATTCAGAACTGACCTTTGACCTATGAGGCTGCAGTGCCAACTGCTATGCTACTGTGCTGCATATGGTTTTGCCCCAAATTCAGGTACATCAAAGTGCTGCACTATTAAATCAGACAGATTAGATTTCCATTCCTAATCATTTAAAAAATTGCAGGAGCATCATGGACTGTAAAGATTTTTAATGTTTTCAGACCTACAGCTTCTGCTGGTCAGTTTGTTTTAGGGTTGCTCCAATTATCCACTGCATTTTCTCTTCAGGACTTTGAGGAAGCCTGTTACTTGCTGATGAAGTGTGGAGCTGTTGAAATATTAAAGCAGGACATTCTGGTGACAGAGAGAGGCCATTCGATCCTTTCCTTTCTTAGGGCTATGGTAGAGCCCTTTCTGAAAGGTTATCAGGTATATTTTATTATAATTTATCTAAGTGAAAATATGCTAAAACGCTTGATGCATGTCATTCAATATTCAAATTATTTTTGACAGTATCCATTTAATCTTTCACTGGGTATATGTTATACTTGAGTACTTCTGTAGAACTTGAAGAAAATATGTATTGGATTTTGGTTTGGTAAAATATTTGAAATCTTTAAACAATTCAGGTGAGTGAAGCTGGGAGCCTGTATTTGTAAGAAATGTATGTTTGCAGTTTTGTGTGTACAGTGTATATATACATACATACAGTGCCTTGGAAAAGTATTCAGTCCATTCTGATTGATGCACTATTTTCTGAAAATGAAACATACTGCTTTTTTCAAACTTAATATTTTATTTAAAACCTAAATGCTCAAACTTTAGACTTTGTTTAGACTCATGGTAGGAGTAAATTAGTAAAAACTAAAGAGAAATGAAATATGTTTGTATAAGCATCCAGATCCATGAACTCATTATGTGGTAGAAGCACCTTTGTCAGCAGTTACAGCTACAAGACATCCCAAACTTTGTAGACAGGCTTGGTGCAAGTTTTTCCCATTATTCTTGACAGCTTCACTCAAGCTCTCTCACATTGCTTCGCGATTGGTTATGAACTGCAGTTTTCAAGTCTTTCGTTAGACTGTCAATACGATTCAAGTCACGACTTCACTGGGTGACTCAAGAATATTCAGTTCTTTTCTTGAGCCACTCCAGTGTAGCTTTGGCGTTGTGAAAGATGAAATCCCAATTTTAGGTCTTAAGCAGGTTTTCCTCTGATTTGCCAGTACTTTGCTCCATCTGTGTTCCAGCCGTGCTTGACGGTAGTGTTGGTGTTGGACTGAGTAATGCACTATGTTGAGATTGCATCCAATTCCAATTTTATTTTGTCTTACCAAAAGAAATATTGCAATATGTTTATCACTTAGGTGCTTTGTTGAAGATCCTATGATCCTATTTTTTTAAGTTCCGTACAACTGGAGTGAAGTGCATTTACCCTACTGAAAAACATCCCATATTCCTCGGCTAATCAGTATATTTTTCTTAATTAGCATCTATTGAAGACGCACTGACAGCTAATTGCACTTTATTATTATGATTTGGATATTATTAGTTGTAAATCTAAGGTACAATAAAGTTCTTCAGATGTGTTGAATTACTGGCACCTCCCAGAGTTTTTAGTGCTAAACTTGGTAATGTGTGTGCTGTGCTGTCATGCTGACATTTTCATTTTTCCCCATTAGACGGTGTGTCAGTACCTTTGTGAAGAAGTCAATGACGGTTTTGCCGAGAAAGAGTACGTCCCTGCGGTCCGCACCTTCGCAGTCAAAAGACTCTTATCAGGTCTCTGGGTTATCACTTGCAGAATGTTGTGTAGATAGGAGAGTAGTACTAATGTGTGCTTAGGGCTCTGGGTTTTGGTTTTATCTGATTAAACACTTCTGTCCATCCATCCATTTTCTAACTGCTTCATCCAGTTCAGGGTTGGCATTCAAAAGGAGACTGCAGTTAGAAAATGGATGGATATAATGTTACACTGGATTGAAATTGTGTAAAAAACAAATCCAAAAAAGCAAAAAATCCATCCACTTTTTGCATTCCATCATCATTTAACTTTTAGCTCATATAAGGTGAAAAGCATTATATAAATACATTTATTGTTTGTGGAAGTGTAATTATTATCATCTACGTAGTACTTAGAGAAATTGCTTAAAATAATACCAAAAGGTGATGGGATGAGAATGCCATCGAGGCGGTGTCGACTCATGGTGACCCTATGGATACTTCCCCTGTCACTGTCCATAGAGTTTTCATGGCAAAATACGGAAGTAGATTGCCAGGCCTTTTTTCTGCGCTGATAGTTGTTGCCATTGTCATGGAAATGTGATCTTCCGCCTCCAACACCACCCCATACTGCTGCTGCCCAGTATGGGTTATTAGGGAACCTTGCGCCCAACGTGGGACAGGAACCCACTACCCTGAGTTTGAGTCACATGCTAAACCAGCCGAGCTCGTCAGGGCCCTACCAAAAGATGATACTCCTTCAAAAAACATGTGTGGCAAGCACAACAGGGTATTTTACAGTGAAACTACTAGTCCTGTGGTGATCAGCTTTTATTCACCATAGTGAACCATAGTTCCACAGATCCATAGTTCATCAGATCTTAAAGCTCACCATGAGTTTGACAGTTTGTAAAGATAGAACAAAGGTTTTGAATGCTTAATAAGTTAATTGGTTTAGTTAAAATGTTCTACATTGTGTTGGAACTTATTTAAACCCTATCCAACAGACTGAGTTGAACAAAGATTCTGCTTAAGTGGTCTAAGTTAAATTTTTCCAGTTCTGGTTCTGCAGGCCTGCACATCTGCTGGTTTTATTCCAGCTGTTCTTAATGACCAAATTGAAACATCAACTGAACCAACAGATTGCTTATTTGGAATATTTTCCAAATTCTCCAGGACCAGGATTAGAAAGTCCTGATTTAAGGGAGATGCACAAAACCTGCTGAATTGTGGCTTTCCAGGATAAGGCTTGTCCACTGCAGCTTGTCCCTGAAAACACTAATCTAAACACAAACCAATGTGTTTCAGTTATGCTACTTTCCATGCTTTATTAATGTAAAGGAACAAGTAAAGGTTTATTCCATGCTGTTAATATAAGAAACACAATGGTTTGTTTCTCCCCTTTTTTAGGATGGAATAAACCTTTACTTGTTCCTTTGCAGCCTATGCACGCTGACACAGCTACCTTGAACTACTATATTAATGTATGCTGTCAAAAGATAGAGGCTATACTGGATAAAAGCCTCCTAAACTCCTCCCCAAAAAGTATTGTACAGTTGAGAATATAACAAACTACAAGCACAGAAGCACCAGGAAACAGCAAGATTATAACAGCTACAGTACAACATAAGATCAAGAACAATTAAAATACAGTAAGGAATCACAGGAATGTAATACTCATTCAACTTGTATTTCTTTGTGTTCTGACAGGAAGCCTCAAGTGCTATGAAGTACTTTCTTCTGACATGCAGAAAAATGCCTTAGCTGCTCTGTTGAGGATGAACATAATTAAAAAAGCCAAAATGTAAGTTAAACCATCTACAGTATGTGCACCTATATTTGAAGATGTTTTGCAATGTTGAGGATCCTGTTCCTTTTACTTTTTTTGTTTACAGTGCATTTAAAACCATCAGTACTAGGCCAGTAGTACTAACAATCTTTTTTTCTAGAAGGAATGCCCTATTTAGCTTACGGAGTTATCCATGCAAAATATCAATGAATTGAAACAGGAATGGGCCAAAAAGAAACACAAACTGATGTACAAAACTGCAGTAAATGTTTGGTTGAGGTAATTGCAGCTAAGGGAGGTTCCACCAGTTACTAAATGTGAAGGTTCACATTCTTTTTCCCACATAGACAGGGAATGTTTAAACGTTGTGTTCAATATGGACATCATAAAGTACAACTGTGTACACACTTTGTGTGTTATGCAACAGTGTTTTGACAGAACCACGTGTGAAGAAAACATTTGTTTACAGACCAAAATGACGCCAAAATCATTAGCGATCGCCAGGAACACTCCAATAACATCCTTTGATGCTTTTGTACTCAATCTTTTCAACTTCAGATCCCTTCTCACAGTTTACAGTCTTTACAGAAGTTCGCTCATATTTTGGGAAGACTATTTTTTCTATTCGTTTAGCTTTAGAGTCTATGAATCTGTGAAAAGGTTTGTAAATTGTAAAGACAGCAGAGAATTCCACTGAACCATATTATTCCATACCCCATACAATCTCATTTTCTGTTTACCTCTACTTTTTTCTGCATTAGAAACTGAATTTCAGATTTTATTTCAGTGCTGATGACATTTTTATGAAAGTGAATAAGATCTCTGTGAACAGATTAGAAGACTCACTAGGTAAGTATGTCAGAATATTCAATCCATGTAAACTTCTTAATATTATTTCCCTGTGGCCTAGTGGGTCCAGTTTAACATAGTTTTGTCTTAAACAAATGCAAATGATCTATGGATGACAAACTCTTGCAGATGTATTTAAAAAATTAATTGTTCCTGATGGATTTTGCTCTCCAGTTTGAAGACCATCATAGTAGTTATTTTCCTGCTCTTTTCTTTGTTAAAACATTGAGACGACAGCCATTTCACCATGTTTAAATTGGGTGCTCTGTATTACCTTAGATGTCTTTTAACAATTGCAGCTTCTATGATTGTTTTCATTATTTTGTACTTGTTTCATACATATGTTGAATTTCCATGTTTTTTTTCCATAAGAATACTATGGTGACATCTGTTGAAGCATCTTGTAGCAAGATTTTAACTTTTGAAAGAGTTTGTGGGACAGTATTCAACAGTTAAAACCTAGTATCAGCTACAGTACCATTATTTTCTGGAATACCTGAAATGAGTATTCCAGAAAATAATGGCACAGTTATCACTACCACCTTGTGTGTAGAGGATACAGCTGAATGGATGCAGTTTAAATATCTCACACCAGTGGCAACTGATATTTCACCCTGCACATTTCCTATACAGTATATGTGATGGTTCACTTTGAATGTGACCAGAGTGCTAATTATTAGCCTGTGAAATGGGTGTGTGTAACATTGGTACTTAATGACCGCAGCATTATAGCTGTTGGGATTTCAGGGGATCCTGCTCCTGCAAATATGTATGGGTTTGGCGTAAGACCAGCAATGAATACCAAGCTTCCTGTTTTCATGGGGTGGCTTGTCATTTTGGTATATTGTATTTTATAAAATATTTTTGCTATATTTACCTGTTATTTTATGTTTGGCCAATTGGAAGTGGGTTTTGAAATGCTTTTCTGTTACTAAAGTAGAAAAGACTGCAGTCAGATGTTAAATTTCTAAACGAACCTTTCAAACTTAACCAGATTCTCTACATTCTCTTTTCTCCTCCTTCAGGCGGTAAAATACCCTTTCAAAAACCTGTCGTCGCTCGATTGTAGTTCAACTGCCACATGAGGAAAGAAAGCAGCACCTGGGAGTTACTGATGCCTTCTTTAACACAATGCCAAATTAGCCAAGTCTGTGCAGCTATACCAAGTGGAAAGGCCATTTGATTTCAGCTTCTGAAAAGACTTGACAGACTGCCATTGAAGGCAGCCTTACTGTTGAAAACAGCTACAAAAAATGCTGTTCTTATTTTTATTCAAAAAGAAAATCTTTAAAAAGGTCAAGGTTAAGGACTTAGCTTACTCATGTCTGTTACTCCTGCAGTTGATTGAACGTGCTAATGTTACCAAGGCTGTTTTAACAGTAATACAGTGTGGTAACAAATCGCAAATGTATATAAATATGATTCACTTCCCAAGCTTTCAGAGCATTTACAGCAAAAATAGGTGTTAACCAGCATCACCGCCTTTGTTTGGAATTTCTTTCTTGGTGCACATTTTATTTATTTGAAAGTATTTATATATGAAACCATTGAGTTCAGCAGGGAGCTGGGCATGTTGCTTTGTGTGATTAGGGAGAAAAATAGATTTGTAAGCAACTTTTGCCTGGTTTGTCAATTTAATGTTTTATTAGTTGCAGCTGAATCCTAGAGGATCTCAATCATTGAGATGTGCCATTATGGTTATATTCTGGGTTAGAAATGCATTGTTTAATGGTAGATTTTGTCCTTTCTAAAAAGTCAGGAGAAGATTGTTGCAGTGGTGTTTGTCCATTCTGTAGAAGTGAAGAACTTAATAGGGTCTAACTTGCACACTTTAAGCCATATTGATTAGTAAGCTGTTTTTATTAATGAAAGACTCTCTTTTGTCCTACATTGTCTTTATAAAACAATGGTCATGCTATGGATGAACATGGTGCTTAGTGTCACCCTTTATCTTGTTTTAAGATTTGATAAACAACTACGTACATGTATATTGAAATTTCAGCTCTACTTCAGTGGAAGTCTAGTCTATAATTTGGTTCTTCAGTTATATAAGTGTCTGTTAGCCTGGCACATTTTTTTTAGAAACGGTAAAACAGCAATGCATGCATTGTCAATCTAGAATATTCCACTGTGAAAGTGCTGTTCAACACCCAAATTAAAGAACACAGAGTACTGGACCCTGTAATATGAAATCTTCATCCCAGTCTTATAGTACAGCACAGTTATAGGTCAAAGAATTGAGAATGCTATCAATTAAGGATTGCATTTAATGTTTTCGTGTTCATTTTTGGATTATTATTATTTTGTTCGGTACAGAGAGATATCTATGGTTTTTGTGATATCAGTGTCAAAACCCTCTTTGTCTGAACTTTACACATTGAATTTTTATGAATAGCAGTTAAAACAAACTTAGAAAAGATGTCACTGATGAATATAATTTCATAAGCACTATTTATGAAATGAAGTAAGTGCCAATATCTTTGTTTGGGAAAGTATCAAATGTACTTGAAGGGTATTATGATGGCATCCTTTTTTCCCCTTATGGTACCTGATCCATTCTGTATGTATTGCTAAGACATCACAGTGGTGTTTGACTTTATTTGTGCCTTAAATGCATAGCACTTACTGTACTAAACCATCACAAATGTAGGCTTAATGTATACAAAAATAATCCATTTGTAGTAATGAGTACTTTTAAAGAAACATGAAATATTGCATAATAGCATGCACATACTAAGAAAAAATTACTCTTTCCAAAAAACATGCACACTTCCCTGGACAAAAGCACCGCATCGTATAAAAGCCAGAGAAGTATGGCCAAAACCATAGCATCTCATTAATGAAGGCAAGGATAGGATTGATAAATGAGACCTATTATTTTGCCTTAATGAGAACTTACAATAAGCACCAGGAGTGTAATGAAAGGACCAAGAGACTGAGTATTTTCATCTTCCACTCCCTAAACTGTCTTTATTTTACACCAGAGGTAACAACAGTTTTGCAGTTCTGAGACCAAACTCCATCCTGCATCCTACATCCCTTTGTTCTTTGTGCCTGGAGTAGAGATTCATTTTCTGCAAATTGGAAGTTCACATTCAAGGATCCCTTGAAAACAAAGGAACAAAGGAAGTTTCATATGTAGCAGTGTTTGAAATTAAGTGTTACTCACAAACTGTTCTATTGACAACTTTTACAATGGTTTGATTAACTGTACTTTTAATACATCATTGTATATAATTCTTATAAAATGTATGTGCTTTCAGTTTGGAGGTCTTTAGATAAGGTTGAAAATCCTTGCTCAAAGACAGCAGGGAAAACGGGTGTTTTTCACAGTCTGGTGGAAAGGAACTAAGTCTCTTGACCAAGAACTAAAAATTGGACTTGAGCGAATCTTAACTGAGGGTCTTCACAAATCCTGTTATGGGTTCTTGTTAAAACTTGTTTCCACCTTCGCACTCAGATGAGTATCAATTAGATGTTTATGTAAATTAAGTGGAAATATTCTCCAGATCATGCAGAAGTTATTTCTGGGGACTGAAAAGAATATTTCAAGATGTTTTATATACCTGCAAGTTACCTATAACTATAATGCACTGTAGATGTTTGCTGGACTTATCTGTACTTAAGCTTATTTTCCTCGTAAAGACATTTGAAATTATCTGGACCTCCATGTCTGTTATTTTTGAAAATTTTGCACTAACTGGTCTTGGAATGTTGATGCTGAAATGGCTCCAGGTTTTTTTCTGTTGTACTGTGTGTTGCCATTGACTTCTGTACACCTGTTCTCAATGCTGTTAACCTTCTAAGCTGTTTTTGGTAAAGATGTGGTTATATTAATGTAATAAAGGGTTTTCCTGTTTTCCTTTTAACAATAAAGTTTCATTAAAAGGCTTTTCATTATCCTTAGTTAAAAATGTTGACTTTTGAAAAGATTTCAAATTATTGCTATAATCTGTTTGCAAGCTGAATAGGCCAGGGTTTCCCACTATTGCAAGTACACATACCCTACTTCTTTTTCAGAATCATCTGTTCAGACTAGTATGCTCTCAGCTTTAAAAGTTAATACCCGAGATCAGTTCTTCCCTAAGGCAAGAGTTTTGAATGCAAACATCTAAATGAAAACTAATCTATTACATTTGACTGAACACAGACTGGGAATCTAGGCAAGGACTCGCATAACACTAGGCTGCTTAACATGTGGAAAACCATTGAACAATGTGATTTTTCCATTTTTGAGAAGAAAATCCTACAGTGATTACACATTTGGCGCCTCCTACGGACATGGAATTGAAAAGTGCCTGGTGTTTCCAGGCCTGACGCTTATAAATTATAGTTTATAATATTGAGATGAAGATGTCTTATTTTATTCTCGTAGTTGACGTGTATACCCTGTAGTTTGTACTTGTTTCTTTTAGTTTGCCATTATTATAAAACCCGAATCTTACTGTTGCTATGTTAACATAAAAGTGTATACAACATTTATATGAGGAAAAAATGATATTTCAGAGATTTTTGCCCAAATTTGTTTTTCTCAAAGTGTTGGAACACGACACTACAGTCACACTTCTGGAGCCCATGTGGACAGAGCGTCAGTGAAAAACAGATGGAACCAATAGGATCGTATGTTGCTGGAAACTCAACACCAGATAAACACCAGAGTTAAAGGAGATTTTCTTGAGCGGATGATTTTGTATTGTAGAGTGTATTTTTAATCAAAATGCCGCTGTATATAAATCCGGATCGGGTTTCAGCTCATCGCGTTTCCTTGTTGGAGCATAAACTTCGGGTAGGTTAGATATTCTGAGTTCACTAAAAAAAATCAACCGTTCGGAGGGGTTTCCTACCAAATATACTTTAGTGTGAAAAGCCTGTGCTTATTCTCTATTGTGAGTGAAACACAGCGGCTTTTTATTTTAAAGAGTATCCGCGCTTTTCAGGTGTTAAGCACACAACGAATAACGACTCCTTGTAGTATGTATGAAAGTGTTGGTGTATAATTTTTCCTTCGCCGTTTTCTTTTCACTCTTGCAGAGTAAAGAAGAAAGAATTGTAGAGCTGGAGACCGAAAAGGCGCTGCTTCACCTGAAGCTAGCTGAAGTACGAATTATTCAGCAGTATATAGCATGTGCGGTTCTTATCATGTGCTCTATAGTAATTGTAGTGTAATTGAGATGTGATTTACTCGTACTATGAAATATAAACCATATTTGACACTAGTATCAGCCAACATTTATAGAGTCTGTTGTAGCATAACAACAGATGGCTGGTAAGCACACGTGCTGTACAGTACTGTGTCTTGGGATAAACGAGCTGTTGTATTGAGTACACATCCGAGTATTATTAATAGCAGTAGTATGTATAGCTTGCCAGCAACGCTCAAATAATAAATCTGTGGTCTAGTTAGATCTTTGATCTAAAAATTTCTGTAACTGCTTGTCGGTTTCAGAAGTATGCTAAATTCATTTTAGTGTTGATGAAGTATTTGCTTCTCTTAACTGCATTTCTTTACGTCTAAGTGATCCATTATTTGTCATGGTGTTAATCTGAATGTATGATAGCATGTTATGATATAACATTTTGTCTTCAAAGTCTTCATATGGCCCATACTGTATGCTATTCAATATTAATATTTTTCCAAATATTTTACATCTGTTCCTAGTGCTATGGTAAATTTAGAAGAGACAATGGTCGCCAGGGACAAATTCTCTACCAAAACACACAAACTTTTCTAGAGAAGATCTTCATTGAAGTTCAGGTAGGAACAATCTAAGTGTTATTTTTTGGGGTGGGAAAAAAAGCTTACCGAAGGATTCCTGTATCTTCTGCTTTGTACATCTGACAGCACCAATAACCCTAATAAAAATATTGTTCAGAACACAAAAAATGAAATCTTTCACATTTTGACAGTAGCATTACCACTTTCCAGCTAATCTCTTCAGATATCAAAAGCCAGGCAAGGCTACCTCTGATCAGTGCTGAGATATGAGGCTACAGTTTTCTAACTTAGGATTTGTTGATGGACCAGTAACAATAATCAGCTACCTTAGTTTTTCCCCAGGGGGTCTCCCATTCAGGTACTGAACAGGCTCATATCTGCTTAGTTTTAGTGGGTTGCCAGTTGTGAGTTCCAGGGTGATATGGCTGCTGGTTACTAGATAAAACTCTTCCCTCTGTGCTGTAATTTCCAAAAAACTGGAGACAAATATGGGTGGCATGGTATTGCAGTGGTTAACTTTGCTGCCTAACAGTACTGGGTCCCTGGGTTCAATTCTGGATCAGGGGTGCTATCTGTCTGGAGTTTGTATGCTCTTCCTATGTTGGCATGGGTTTCCTCTGGGTGTTCTAGCTTCCTCCCACAATCTCAGGACATACTGGTAGGTTAATTGGATTCTGGGGAAATTGTCTGCTGTGTGAGAGAAAATACAACTTTAAAAGCAGTTGCAGAAATGTTCCTCTTTGTTTTCTTATTTTTAATTCTCTCAGGCCTTAAAAAAGAGTCTCAGAGACCTGTATAGGACCTATGTTGGTTTCTCTGCCGAACTTGAACAGCGAAGCAGATGTTTCCTTGATCAAGTCAACAGAGCCAGCGAGAGGATTCAGGGCCACAGTAATGATGTTCACAGTAAGTCTCTGGGATCACAGAATCTTTATAAACACAGCACTGTCCTCAACTATCCCGTTTATTGTGAAATCTTCAGTACTTTATTTTTTTTTATATTACCCTTCCTAATTTGGAATTATCAATAATTGTAGCTTTACCTGCTAAAATTATCCTCTTACTGTGGGGGGAGTGAGATCTCCAGTGAAAATGCCTCTTAGAGCTTTGATCTTCTTATTCAGAGTTCTAATGTTGGAGTGCCCACCAGCATCCAATAACTGGAAGAGTGATGTGGCTCTTATGTGCAATAATATTGTATGCCCGCCCCTGGGGAATTCCATTCACAGGAATGTCGGACGATGACATAGACGAGGCCCAAGTTGACAGTATTGTGTCTATTGGGCTAAACCTGTTGCTGAGACAAGCAGCTTTTCTTACCCTAAGACTGTTCTGTATCTGGAAACTATTTTTGTGGTAATTCCATGGCAAAGATGTTGTGAGTAGTAAAATGTGTATTATTTTTTTTAAATGGTAACAATAAGCTATGAAAAAATATTTTAAAACGATTAACATGTGTCTACCTCACCCTTGGACAACCGGATTGCAATAAATGTGCTGCAAGTTGTTTCCTTAACATTCCCATAATATGTAGAGAACACTTGTGGTACAAATACAGCTGATATGAAAAGAGCCTTGTAAAAACTTGGCAAGGAAGTGTTCAGAGAAAACTAGAAAAAATACTTCAAAGACAGCCAATGTCCCTCAAGATGAGCACTGTGGTTTAAAATTGCCACCTTTTGAGCAACGATGGCTCAAGCATGAGACTTGCCTGGAAAGCCTACTCTATGTGTCCTCTTTTTTGTAAGTTGTGTTGTAGAGTACACAGGTTGTGATACAAGCAGCTTTTATGCTGGAACTGCCAAAGAACAATCAAGTTATGAAAATAGAGAAAAGTCAGTGAAGTAGTGTAGGAATAGAACATTGGTTAGGATTTTAATTCTAATTAATTAATTCTAATTCTAATTAATTGACTTCAGCTCTTCAGATGTGATTTAAGTGGTTTAATGAAACTACTTGTACTGGAATAGATGTTGATGTGATTGATGTCATTCTAACAAGAAATCATCCCATACAGGAATCTTGAGTAATAGTGAGTAAGAGATCAACAACATTTCTCTTTACCTTTGCTCTATGATCAAAGAAGGTTCAATATTAGGAGAAAACCTGGCAGTTCAGTGTTGTTGCTTTTGGATGGGTGTTGTTTCTTTTTAATGCAAGGAGCCATTTCTTCTTGCAGAACTCCAGGCTCAAGTTCTTGATCTGGAAAGATCACTACAGGAAGAGAAGGAAAGGTACAGGATGGAGAGGCAGAGAAGAAGATTTCTTCATAATATTCTAGTTGTGAGTGCTTATTTCTATCTTAGTTCTTGGTCGTAGTGCTGCTATGGTAAGCAGTACGTCTGAGTAGAGATTAAAGATGTAATAGTTTACAGGCTTGGCACTCTCTTGCTTGCTTAAACAAATACTTTTTTGTCTAATCAGGAGCTGCGAGGGAACATCAGAGTACACTGTCGTGTGCGTCCACTCTTGCCTCTTGACAGGGGACTCAGTGATACAGATCCAGTGCCTAAGTACCATGACTCTTTTAAATTTTTAAAATAGGCTTCAGAATTATTTTTAATGTTTTAAACAGGTGCAGCATTTTAAATTTTAAACTGTATTTTCTGTTTGTGCACAATAATTGCATACCTGTAATTGCAAGTATACTGTTATATATATTCTAAGTATTTAGCTTTTTAAATAGAGATAGAGCACTTGCTGCTTCTACACTGTTAATCCTAATTTGATGTCAACTGGAAATTTGATTTTTACTAAATATACCAAAACCTAGATCATTGATATGAATTAAAAAGAGCAGTTGTTCTAGAACAGACACCTGTGGTACACCACTAATGACCCCAAACTGAGAATTCATGCATTATCTATGCTTTCTGTTTCAAACCACTGTATGTCTTCTTTTAGTGGATAATGTTATAATTTATAATTATTTTATAAAGTGCTTTATTTTTCCTTATGATTTTCCTAATTGGTTTAGTATAGGGTTTTTAGCTTTTGATTTACTTATTCTTCAGTTCATTTGTTCAGTATTATAAGCAGAATCTGTTTAAACTAGTCATCCATTTTTCACTGATTTATGTGTCTCATATCACATTTTAATTGTCTTTTTAAAAGACACTTCAAGAAATATTTTATACTGTGGAAACCCCCTTGTTTTCTTTAAAATTTCAGAATAGTTACTTTAGATCATCACTAAAGCCATACATGAGAGTAGTCCATACAGTTCATTGTGCCCATTACATACTATTCCTTTATAATCCCACATCCAGTAGTGGGTAAACATTCTCCAAGGATGATATCAGTTCTGGAAAAGGACATTTAATTGCAGCCAATCAAACCTAACCTCACAGAAATGCAGAGAGAACACGCAGATTCCACATAAATGAGCAACCCAAGCCTGACTCTAAGATTGGATCTTGGAGCAGTGATACAGTAGTGTTAACTGCCATGCCACTGTGCTGCCCCTTGGTGATACAATATCTGAGCCCAGTATTTCATTTGTTTACTGTATGTATTTGAAGAATCCCTGAGAGTTAGCTTCAGTAACATGGCTACATATTTTATTTCAGACACACACTCATCCTTATGTTAAGAAGTGCTTTCTACTTTTAATGCAAAATTTATAATAGTTATAATAATTGCTTACACTTATGTAGCACTTTTCTGGACACTCCACGCAAAGCGCTTTACAGGTACTGGGGACTCCCCTCCACCACCACCAATATTCAGCATCCACCTGTATGATGCGACGGCAGCCATAGTGTGCCAGAACGCTCACCACACATCAGCTATCAGTGGGGAGGAGAGCTGTAATTAATATTAGATGGGAATTATTAGGAGGCCATGATTGGTATGGGCCAATGGGAAATTTTGGCCAGGACGCCAGGGTTACACCCCTACTCTTTTCGAGAAGCGCCCTGGGATTTTTAATGACCACAGAGAGTCAGGACCTCGGTTTTATGTCTCATCCAAAGGACAGTGCCTGTTTATAGTATAGTGTCCCCGTCACTATACTGGGGCATTAGAACCCACATGGACTGCAGGGTGTGCGCCCCCTGCTGGACTCACTAACACCTCTTCCATCAGCAACCTTAGTTTGTCTCAGGAGGTCTCCCATCCAGGTATTGGCCAGGCTCATACCTGGTTAGCTTCAGTGGGTTGTCAGATGTGAGTTGCAGAGTCATATGGCTGCTGGCCATATCATTTATGTATGTTGGTCTCTGTCTTGTCTTTGAAATAATGCCGTGGTTGGAATTTGACATAAGATGTTTTTAACTAGCTTTTTAAGACATTATAATACTATGTTTTAGATAGGGTTAGGTACCGCCACTGGAAAATGTACTGCGGTAAACCGTGGTACACATGCATGAACCGCAATACGTACAGCGGGAATACCGCAAACTATTTCGCATGTTCATATATGGAGACTCTTTCATAGTTTGATGCCATGATTAGTAAAACATATTGAGTTGTATACAAAATAAATAAATGAAAATTGTTGTTTTGTAGTTGTTTTGGTTGATTTCTTGCAACCAAATAACTAGAAATAACACTGTCTCTAGTTTTAGAAGACGGTAGCTGTTAAAACCACAAAGCTATTGAATACCTCTATATAAATGTAGATTTATAGTGGTCTGATTCATCCTTAACTTTGTAAAATACATAAGAAGGTTAAACTGTTTATCTTGATAAAAGCAGGATCTATCTTGATTAGGTTTTCAGCACGAAGTAACTATTTGCTTTTGGTTGCTCATTTTCCTTGGAATGCAGAGTATGGAAAATGTGCTTATCAGAAAGACTTCATTTTTTATCTACAACCATATGCCTTAACTGAGCTACCTGAAAAAGCCTGAAGGTATAATTTGCAGAAAAATAATTTATAAACTATGATACTATGTTATGCAGTAACACTTTAATACAGTATGTATGAATGACATGCATGCCAGCATAGTGTGTATTTTAGACATTTGTTTGCATACATAATAAGAAATAATTTTTGGGGAAAAGTAGCCCATACAGTATGTTGTTTCCTGTTTTTAGGTCCTCTTTGTCAGAGAAGGTTATCCATGCCATTAATGATGTGAGTATTACAGTAATTTCCCATCCTAGCCAGTACAAAATGCTATCCCTTTAAACATTCTCATGTAGTTGAGAATTTCAAGACTAATTACTAATTAATTAAGATTGTTGAATATTCATTTTTATTATAGGAAATTCAGGTTCTTTTTCTATTGTTCAGGATACTGTCTTGGTTAGATGTACAAGACCTGGTTGTCCACCAGTAAACAAGGTGTTTGAATTTGAGAGGTACGTTCTAGGATTTAAATCTTTTGAGTTTATTCAAATATTTTGCAGATTCATTTCAAAACAATTATAGGTTTCCTCTTAGTTTCCATTATATATTTCTGATGCTTTGTAAAGTACATTTAAAAGAGTTTTAAAAATGTTTTAAATTGATATCAGCTGGCAAATGAAATAAACAGAATGGTGGTATTTAATTTCAAAGTTTGCCTGCTCTTCTTTCTGTTAAATGATCAGATGGCACCAGTTTCCCTCAGCACAGGATTTTGTTCCATTATGAGTAATCTCCAGATGAATAATTGCTCCCACTTATCTCACTGGGTGGACTGGAACAATTGGAATAAAATCTTGTACAGGGAAACTACAGTTTTCTATACTGGGAACCTGAACATATAATTCTCTAGCCATGGTAAAAGCAGGGTAAACTGAAGTACAGAATGAAGTGCTAAAATTGATGTAAAAGCAGTGCTTGTGAAGTACATAATGATATGGTAAGCCATGATACATATGTACTTGACAAAGCAAAATACAAGGTATATACATAGTAAAAGTGCATAAACACAATACGAATTTATGGACAGTTTTCATATGGGTCCTGAGTATGACCTGCTACTCCTGTTTTCTCTACATACTCTAAAGATGTGTTATGTTATGCTGTCAAAGAGTAGTGTATTTTTCTAAATACTAATTGATCTGAATGACCTGTGACATAATCATCATGCTGAATGGGCTGATGTCATTCAGAGGGTTTTGGGGTTTTGAAGAGGGTTGCTGCGTAATTGCATCTGACCCTGAGCCTGTGCTTGGCAGGGTGCATGGTCCCGAGGACTCACAGCAAACAGTGTATGGAGAAGTCAGCCCTCTGCTCACCTCCCTCCTGGATGGGTGAGTGAGAGGCAGCATGCTATGAACGTCAAACAGAAATATGGAAATCCGCTATTGTTTCACTTCCTGATCTGCTCCTGAGTTCTGATCACTTTTTGTTTCTCTCCCTTCGCTTACATCAATTTCAGTTCCAGCTACCCTAATTGAAATGTTACAGCATTGTGCTTAACACAGTTATTCACAAATAAACATGAGCAAGGTGGCATTGAACACTTTGAATTACACTAAAGCTGATTTTCTTTTTAAAAAATACACTGCATGTACCTGGATGGTTTTTGTTTCCCTGTAAAGAAATTACATTTCTTCCACACTATAATGGCAGCTGTATGTAAATAGACTTTTTAAAAATGTATTAGAATAGAGGTGACAAAAACATTGAGTTAGAATATTACATTTATTAGAAACCGTAACAAATCAGATTTTACCTGCAAATGTACTGCAAACAAATGACACCTTTTTTGAATTGTACAATTCATTAATAAAAAAGAACTCAGCTTGTACTGGTATAATGAAAGCACATTTCTTTTAACAATTGCAAAGTGTTTAGAACTGCTCTCATCACAACATCACAATATCACACAGCACACTGCTGATGCTCACTGGTTTAGCAACTGTATGTACTGTATACAGTATAAATATTCCACTGAAGCTTTCTGCACCACAGTGATTTTGCGACAGATAAAACATGCCCTTTCTTAAAGTCAATAGGTTCTGTACAATGACATTTAGCCAGAATAATTCCCTCTTGAAAAGTGTTCTTTGGATTGGGCTAATATATGTAAGAATGTATATTGATGTGAGAATATCTTTTCTAAGTCATTTCATTGGGCCTTTTGTCAGTGAACACCTACTCAAAAGCCTCCACAAAGTCCTGTGAGGCAGGGTTGAGCAGTCAGTAGAAGAAAAGGACTGGAATGTTCATATTTCAAATCTGAAATCTCCTCATTGCAGGGATTATTGGTGTTATGATGAGGGATGAAGGAGTGACAAGAGCTTACCCTTCTGCATTACAGGTACAATGTGTGCATAATGGCATATGGACAGACTGGCAGTGGGAAGTCATACACAATGAACGGCTCCCATTCGGAAGAAGAAATGCCACACGAGGGCATTATTCCCAGAGCGGCCAGGGAGCTGTTCAGGTAACATGGTAACAAGCAACATCCTTGAAGGCCTACGCACCAGATTCTAGACTCAGTCTTCCCATGTTTTCATAAGTATGTGGTAAAATACTGAACACACTTTTTTGCACTTGTATAGGATTAAAACACTCCATAACAATATCTCATATTCATTCAAGCCTGTTGTACCTGTTTATATATAATCATTTTTTATCTTTATTAATCTAACCAAATGAAAAGCTGAGAGCTTAATAAAACACAGTAATGATCTGTCGTTGTCAGCCAATTGTTGTTTACAGTTCTGTTTACATTGAATGTAATTGATTTTGTAGTTATTTTGCTTTATGTTTTATTGGGAAAAGTTTAGTTTAATCAATAATTGTTAGGATTCCCTTCTCCACTCAGGTGCAGAAAAGCAAATGCATGCTTGTCATTTCCAACCTTGAATATTGTAATGTGGTTTTTGCAGGTATATACAGTGCCTTTATTTTTAATTAATTTATTAAAATGTCTGGATTTTTTTTACTTTGACATTATAGAGTGATTGTACTTACTTACTTTGTGTTGATGAGTGGCAAACATTCTCAGTTAAGTACATCATGGTTCCATGCTGTAACACAATAAAAAAGTCCAAGGGGGGTGTAGACTTTCTATAGGCACTGTATAAAAAATGTGTTCTTGAGTTGCTGCATAAAAATTTATGGTGAATTTTCTCTTTTGCTTCTAAGTTGTTTTGTGAAATTTCTGAGTCTATACCTTCTGACTTTAATTCCTCTCACTGGCTCTCTATGCATTTGTTATCGGATCAGAAATCAAATTCATAATACCACTGTTCTACTTATGCCCTGTTTGGACTTCTTGCCTTTTCCAAAATGAGGCTCTGAATCCTAGGAAACCACATTCTTAAAACCCACTTTTATTTAACTATTTCACTTTTATCTGACTCTCTGAAGTTCTTATATGTATATACAGTATACTTGCATTTTCATTTAGCTAAATATATGCTTATATTTTAAAATCATTCATCTCACAGCATCTTGAATACTACAGTGCTAAGGACACTGAGAGCTCTGTTTAGTCCTAACATAGTTTAAACGTTTTAAGATAATTTGTTATTGATCACATTGTCAACAACTTTCTGACAAAAAGTCTGACAGTTTGACAATTGGTGCTGATCTTTCTGCCATATCACATTTCTTTCAGTCTTGATTATAGCATATTCCATCCTAGAGGACCCTTCCCACCCTTTGTTTTTCAAATGACAGTTACACCCCTCAGAACGCAGATACAGATTCCCCAATCTAAAAACAAGCAGGTTTAAATTCTCATTATACTGTACCTATGGCCATAACCTTTCTCAACAGATGATTCTCTTGTTCATATTTATGTGTATAGTATGTGAGTTTTTGTTCTATTTTCTGCTGTAAAAGCTGTATAACAAATTGCACCTTTGGGCTAATAAAGACACTCTCTCTCTCATACCTTTCTCCATTTTTGCTTTTTGTAGGTTGATATCAGAGAAGCCTGCAAACAGCCATTTAATAGAGGTCTCAGTGGTGGAAGTGTACAACAACGAGGTGTTCGATCTCTTATCGAAGGACTGTGACAAGCGTGATGTCATCACTACGAGCACTGGGACCAGTGACGTACTATGCCTGACATACAGGTCTCTCCCAGTAGAAGAAATGGAACATGTCAACATGGGAGTAGTGTGGTCCCTTGGAGTGTTTAAGATGTGACTTAATCCTACAGCCAGTATACGTGATCTGGGAAATGAAGTGCAGGGGTCCTTGTTTTGCTTCATGATCAGATGTACTGTCCTGGCTAGATGCCTGCAGGACTACCAGTGTGGGTTGTGTTTGTTTTCACTATGTATACTGATGGAAAAAATAAACGCAACACATCTTCCTCCACACTTTGGCCTTCCCATCTGCTTGGAGTCCATCACCGCCTCTATCTGGGACAAGCCAGTCAGGTGCTACGTCTAGGAGGTGTGAGAAGACAGCCTCTGACTTGCTGAGCCTTGCCTTGTTCTAAGTCCAGCAGCATGGAGCCTCACTGTCCTGTCACTGATGCAGGCATTGTCTCTGCCGGCAGTTTCAGCAGCAGTACGGTTGGCAGATCTGAAATGATCTCTCAGATGGACCTGATGTGTCGGTCCTGCTCTGGTGTGGTTACTCGAGGGCAACCGGATCAGCAGCATACCATGGCCTTCTCCCTTGCTTCTGGTGACATTCCAGGCTTTTTGGAATGCACAGAAAACTAACTAAGTGTGGCCTTTTTCTTGCAGTGACCTAAGCTTTGTGACCTAATTAAGGCCTTTTTAAAGGTGACCTGATCAGGCATACAGTAGTTCCACCTGGACCTTGTTGGGTAAAAGTGCACCTAATGAGCTTTCATGTGATTGGCAAGTTGTAATGCCTCACTGCACAAGTTGTATTGTTGGTCAGAGGGCTTATAACAAATTGACAACTTTTTGTGAAAGTACATAAGCTATAATGATAGTATTCTCATTCCAGAAAATGTTGTGTTTCTTTTTTTCCATCAGTATATTTTAATCTTTTAATTCTATCTGGACTCTTCAATGAAAGTCAATGAAAGTCTAAAACTGACTTCTGACCTTTGTGACATATTGATTGACATACTAAATTGTCAGTGAAATGACTTACCTGATCAGAGAATGATCCCGGTTGTTAGATGTTTTTGAAGCTGTTAAATGTTTATGGAATGAGAGAATCTGCAGGTCTTGTTTGAAGTTTGTGTTGTGTTAACTGCTAATGTTACAAAGCTTGGGCATGATAAGTATTTTTATGGAGCAAGAAAGTGGATTTTGAAACTTTAAAAGCAGCTATAGGAAAAAGTCAGAAGTGTGTGTGGGAGTTAAAAGGAAACTGTTGTGAATCCCTCTGGTTAGGAGTCCTGTTTACCTTGCCACACTAAATCATCTGTGCTCTTGTTTTAAGAAAAACTAGGATGAAAGCTGTTGCATGCCTGTAGTTTGTTTTAATTAACTGTTTTAATTTCTTTTATGTCAAGGTTTTGCATGGCCCTTACAAATTTTCATAGGCCAAAAGGGAAAATCTTTCATACTTACCTTAGAAATGTATCCAATACATAATGTAATTCAAAGCACTCATTCTATTGAGCTACAGTAGTTCCCATATACATATGAGGCATGGAAATTATTCAAAACTGTTTTGACCCTTCATTCCAAACGGTTTTTGCTAAAATGATTATTACTTATTAGAGTTATCAGAGAAACCAAAATGCTAGAGAATGTAGCATCTCATATCTTACAGCCTTGGAGTTTTTATGGATGGAACTTGAAAGAAAGAGATTGATACAGATTTGCAGCTACACAAGCAGCAGTGTGATTAAACACATGGGATTTCAATGTGTGTCTTGTCTATGATGCAGACTGGTGCAGAGCGCTGCAGAGATCTTGCGCCTGATCAACCATGTCCATCAGCTCCGGGCCCAGAACTCCACGCTGGTGCACACAGACTCCTCCCGCTCTCACCTGGTGGTCACGCTGACTGTCACGCTGAAGAGTCCCGCTGCTATGGCACCGGGTAAGCGCATCTGCACAGCTTCGTACAACAATTTCTTTACGGTTTGTTAAGGACCAAGGGATGAGAAACTGTCATGGCGGCCCGGGTACGTGTTTTTGTTTGGGGTTCTGTGAGGCGTTGGGAGTATTGAAGCTATTTCTGCGTTAAAATCCAGGATACAGATTTTGCAACACATTGCGCAGCACACTACTTAAGATAAGATGATGGTTGAAGATGTGTTAATAAGATAATCACTGCAAGATAATTTTGAAACTTACCTTTGTTCCTGGCAGACAGTTGCTAACACAATCAGATCAGTACACAATTCCTGTGTGAATGGTTATGGTTCTGGTTATTGTCTAGAAGATGCAGGGTTAATTTGCCAGAATTTGCCAGATTTTGATTAGCAATTGCCAGTTCCTAGCTGGGAGGGAGCACAAACAGGCCCAGATTAACTAATGTGTACTTGGTACACTTGCACAGGATCCCGTCACTGGGAGAGAAAAAGCTGCTTTCAGTGAAGCAGCCTTTCAGATGGCCCAGTGAGGCTGCTGTAGCTTAACTGGTACAGTCAGCACTATGTTATCTTAAAATGCATAGTTGTCAAAAATACATGCAGTATGTGGTTGCACTAAAAGAAAGTTACTTAAGGAATTGAAATTGCTAAATAAATAAATGGATCTCCTGTAAAATGTAATCATGGCAGAGCTATAGTGTCGCATCTTTCTGGAATTGATTTAAGAAGTTTTAAAAGTGCAGATGAACAGTGCAACCAAGCTTGTAGACTTGTAGACTTGTAGCTGAGGAATCGGTTGGAAACACACACCAACACAAAAGTAGCAACTGTAGTGCATGCCTCCTACACATAGATGCTTCTTTGACCAAGGCAAAACAGAAATAATACCAAGAATACAGATCTGAGAGGACTAGAAAAATGTATCACTTAATTTCATCATTGATAATTTTGGATTAGGTACCTTTAAAGTCATCTTCAGTCATGCAGAAGTGAAACTGAATATTTTTTCCTCCCTAGCTCTCACAACAGGTCCTAAACAGAGATTTGTTATGCACCAATAGCTTTGATTCTGAGTTACCCATCTGATTTCACAGCTACTGTTCCAGAAGAGTTTGAACAGTTCCTGCTTCTGAACAAGGAATGAAAGTAAAAGTAAAAAAATATGCAACGTTTCCAAACATGGATTTTGTGCTACATCTTTATCTTATTTTGCCAATTCTGAGTGCGGAAGCTGTTTTTTTGCAGGGTGTAACAGCATTCCACAGGGCCCCATATAGTTTACTCTAACCCTGTGCACAAGGGAATAATAATTGATGGTTCCAAATGATTGAAGAATGTTACCTGTGACAAGCTCTGGCCTGTTGTTCAGCTGACAGGCCCCAGGGCGTACAGCGAGAGTGGTGGAGCCCGCGGTGTCACAAGAGCTCCGGTGGCAGAGTGACTGAAGATCACACGGGTCCAGCGCCCTGTCCCAGGCCAGGCCTCTCACAGTCTCCTGTCAGAACCAGACTTCAGCTGGTGGACCTTGCAGGCAGCGAGTGTGTGGGTGAGCCACTACCTGTATGTAACATTTTGCCAAAAAAAGGAATAAAAAAACCTTTTTTAGTGCATCTCTTGCAAATGCATTTAAGACACGGTATTCAATTTGCAGGCACTGGACATTCAAGATAATACATTTACTTGAATTTAGAATTGGTTAATCTCCAGGCAGTGTGAAGAAGAAATAAAAAGGCAAACAGAATGTTAGGATATACAGATTATATCAAGGGTATTATGTTAAAAATAGTGTAAAGCATTGCTACAAAAAAGAAACTGCTGCCTGGAATCAGTTCAGAGAAGAGCAATGAGATACATTTTGGAGCTCAAAGAAATAAAAGGCTAAATGAACTGATTTTTAAATTTCAGTTTGAAGTTAATTTTTTAGTTCACCTTTAACATCCATTTCAATCCCACCGAAATACCTTGAACCAAGTAATTCTATTTTACCTAGTTCCATTTGGAGAGGTAAGTTGTGCTTCAAAACCTTTGATGGCCTGGCTGTACAGTACCTAATTTTAAGTTACTATTGAGCTTTTCACTTGAGGTAGTTTAAGGCATTCCGGGTGATGTGGACTATAACATCTCGGATTATAATTTGGGTTATAGGTAGGAAGGATGTTGTTTTACCACTATATTCTGAAGCTTTGAACACAGTGCCCAAGACTTGTATTTGTTGTGTTTCTAAAGCTTCCATTTAGACCTATAATGACACTAGGGGCCTGGGTTAGTCCCTGAGGCATGTGCTGGTGAAATAATAATGAAGCAATGTCTGTTTTACAGGAATGTCTGGAGTTACTGGAGCAGCTCTGAGAGAAACATCTTTTATCAACCGCAGTCTGTCAGCTTTGTCAGATGTGCTGGGAGCCCTTTCAGAGCACAGGCCTCATATTCCTTATCGAAACAGCAGACTCACCCACCTCCTGCAGGATTCCATTGGTAAATGCTCTTGAGAATAATACTGGATAGCGCTGTTACACTGGAGCTAATGGATCTAGTGGTTTATTGTCTAATTGTTATTTAGACATTAAAAAAGTGATGAGCTAAGATATTGAATAGGAAGTGATTTGAAAAGATATGAATATTGTAGGCCTGCAGTATCTAGAACAAGGGTTGTCTACCATCGCTTTTTAGTACATATGGATTTGTAGACAGTTCCGTGGAGCTTTATGAAATTGCCTTCAATTGATCATTTCAGTGTTATAATTATAACCTATAGATTCTTTTTTTAGATCGTAATTATTCAAGATTACAATTTCTGTCACACACATTAAAAATGAAATAATTGACTGTTACTGTTTTATAGGTAAGAAAGGGTGTCAGTGTGGTTTAGTAAGAAATGAGAAGCAATATCGTTTTGCACAGTGGAAGATGTCAAGCGCTTTAAAGATAAGAAAGGATAACAGGAAAAGGCAATATGATACCTGCTGCTTGTTCTAGCCTGGCAAGACATGAAAGCCGTTAATCCAGTCGTCTTAAGTAACATGGCTTCTATATGTGGTTGTTTGAATAGAATCTTTCATTTAATTTATCCTGTACCTTACAGAATATCAAAATGGCATGCAGGATGGCAGGAGGATTTCGTTAGACACATTCTTGGCGTTTATGAAATTTGAAGTACTTTTCTGACTCGGACGCAGCACAGAGGAACACTAGGAAAAGGCCCGAGATTGTTCCCTTGTTTTCATTTCCACAGGAGGAGAAGCAAAGCTGTTGGTGATGATCTGCGTTTCTCCATCCCAGAGGTTCCTCACCGAGTCTCTGCAGTCTCTAGGATTTGGAACTCGGGCACGGCAAGTTCAGAAAGAAGGGAAAAGGAGCGGGGCCACAAAACCAAAATAGTTTCAGGCTCCTATTGTTACCTGAGTAATTTATTAATTGCCGGTTGACACATTCTCAGGGTTCTCACTGTGAGAACTGCGCTCTTCAGGTTCTTTGTGTTTCTGTGGCCTCAGAACATTTCAGATTCTGTGAACTTTTTCATCTTCAGTGACTTAAAATGTTCCAAGAATATGGAAGCTTCTCATTTGAATTTGTCAATGGATTGTAGCCCCAGTCAGATGAGGCCTCTGGTCTCAGGCCCCTGACTGTTCCAGGAGACTGAAAGAACTTCAGACTGTAGAATGTAACCTAACTTGGTTCTTGTTGTGATCCCTTTTTGCAGAAGCTCCAAAGAGACAATCGTACAGTATATGCATATGAAATAAAGTCCAGAGTGAAAAGTACACACAGGGAATTTCAAATCTTATATCTACTGAGGCATCTGGTAATGATATTTAGAGTTCCATTTACTAGAGAATTAACTAATTAACTAGAGAATTAACTAGATCTCAGCAGTAGAAACTAGATGAGTCTTGCTTTTTAAATAAAACAGTTTTTATGAATAGTTATAGAACTATATTTTTAAAGTCTGCAAAAGTGTCAAACAATGGGCCTCGAACTGTTTTACTGTATTTGCTGTTTAACACCCCGATGTTTAATCCTATTTTGAAATGGCTGTGTACTAAAATAAAACCATTAGAAATTGAATTTAATTGAATTGATAGAACCTTTGTCTTCCATCTGCATTTCTTAAGAAAAATAGGTAGCACAGGAAACTTTCGGAACATTGGTGTCCTGTCCAATTTCTTATTAGTTAAAAATCATTGAACACTATCCTCTCACTCCTGGATGTACCACTTTGCACAGCTTGCTGCTTATTATGCTTCACAGAATGATTTTTCTTTTTTTAATTAAATAACGTTTTATGAAGTTAGTAAATAAATTCTAGATAAGCAATCTTTTTTTTGTTGTTTTGGTTTCAGTAAACAGTTTTTAATATTGTTTTTTCATGGCCAGCATGTTGTTGGATATTTGTTTTAGGAAATGTATGCCACACAAGCATTATCTGAGTTTAATTGACCTAAAAATTGTTAATCTTATGGTTCTGTCAGGGGTCTTATGAAGATGCCTAGATTAAACAGTGCTCCTTTATCTTTAAAAGGGTCTGCAGCAGTCCTCCTTCCTTTATTATTGAGTTGTTAAAAGTAGCAAGGAATGAGAAGAGAATACCAGAAGGCAGGACATGAGAGAAGGGAGTTTGCTGCAGCTTGAGATATCTTCCGCACGTGGATTTGTCACTGAAAAATTTAAACCTATCGGGTGTCTGGATACTGACGTGACTCATCAAATTTAGGAAAGGAGCTGTGTGTCTTGTGCTGTACATATCCCAGATCTGTATGCCTCAAGAAGATAAGAGATTTTTAATTAAATTAATGGCTAGGAAACACCTGGCAGATGATTTTTAAATACAGACAATTGAAGGTATAGAGACTTTAAAGGCTTTTTCGTGAACTGGTCGTAAATATTGTTATCACCATCATCTTTATCCTTTTCAATTAAACAATTAATATTTACATAAGGAACTGTACCTCCATCCTGTCTGTTGTTGATTACAGTTTAGCTTGTTAAGCATCACCACTAATTTAGTGGTGATAACACAGTTTACAGCAAGCAATAAAAAAGGTCCATTTTATTCTGTGGTAGGCTGAACAGTAGAATATGTAGAATGTATATCAAGGGTTTTATGTTAAATGTGCATTTTACAATCCAAAAGTAAGACCTGATTTAGAATATTGTATATAATTTTGATAACCACCTTCTAAAAAATATGGTTGCTCTGGAATCAGATTAGAGACGAGCAGCTGGATGCACTCTGCTGCTAAAGAGAATGTTCTACTCTGACAGGATGAATGAACTGAACCTTTTTAGTCTTGAACAAAGACATCTACAGAAGACCTGATTGAGTCATTCAAAATCCACAAAGCCTCTTCTTTTGTGGACTTCTTCAGAATGAACAGTGAAACATGAAGTAGAAAAGTAAGTGGAAAATACCTTAAGTGCATTTAAAATTGAAAATAAGAGGCACCTCTTTACGCAAAGAGCTGTGGGAGTATGGAACAGTGTCAACAGCCATTTTGTTGAAAACGATACCTAGGCTTCTTTCAAGAAACAGTAGAATGAGATCCTTAGATTAAATAGCTACTATCAAATTGACTTGATGGTCAGAATGGCCTCCTCTCATTTCTGATTGTTCTTATGTTCTTATTCATGGAAAATAAGAAATTACATTTGCTTTCTGCCTGGAAAGTTTGGCCTTCTTCAACTGTTATTCATGTTGTTTCTCATATTTTTCAGTTGTATAATTTATACTACTATACCACCAAAAGGCTGTGATGCTAATGTCTGAGAAAATGATCTTATGATATTGCAAGTGTAAAAGTAGTTTTAACTGGTGAAAAACTTTAATTTTAGATATCTGCTGTTTCAGATTTGACGAACCACAAAATACACAAGTAGCTGGAAACTTGTGTTTATATTTTAAACACTCACACGTGGTTATCTATATATTCTGTATTGTTTTAGAAAAGTTGTAGTCCTGTAGGTGACTAGTGAAAGTGAGACATCACTTTATAAATCTGAATCTTTACGCAATACAATTAGCAGGTTATTTAACATACCTACAGTAAATATGGTAATCTTTTTTACTAACGTGTATGAAATTAATCTGACAACATTATCGGCCGGTCTGCAATTATATATTGAGCTGAGTAACATTGTGTCGCCCTTCCAGCACATGTTGTGTAAAGAAGCACCGTTTTCCAGCTCTGTTTTGTAACAGAAATTCAACAAGCAATCAAAATGAACTACACCCACAGATAACCAATGGAAATGTGACGTCTTTATGACACCGTCCTATAGTCGTTGAGGGGCCGGACGTTGTGGTGTGTCTTCCTGGCTGTCACGTGTGTCTGAACAAACGCAGTGCGCTTGAACTGTGCCTTGGATTTTTTTAACGGTAAATAACCAATTCCATTTTAACTTCTAATATAATACCTGACATTTAATACAAGATTTTGCGTTACGTCAGTGCCATCATAACAAAACAACCTGACTGGCTGCTTTTCTGTTTACAAAGTTGAATTTTATGCAACCTAGAGTCACTGAGTTATTTAACACCCTTGTAGGCGTTACCATCACGCCAGGTTAAGTAAGTTTTTACGTTGCACAATTGACTTTCGATTATAAAAAGCTAACAGTTGTTCTGATTTCTTATACACTAGTCTTGTTAGGTAAGTACCCGTGTTATTGCTTTCTATAGTTTTGTCGACAGCTAGTATTTGTACACCACGGTTATTATGATGTTATAATAATATGATAATACTAATAGCAATGACATTTAGTAACGTTTTATTGAAATCTTCAATAGTGCTGAACACTATTGCTACAAGTCGGTGCCGTTGTGATATTTTGATTGATTTAATAGAGAAGGCTTTAATTAGATTTTGGTTTCCTTCGCCGTTTAAACCTTTTAAGGATTACCAATGTCCTCGGAAAAATTGTGGTTTATTTTTATTTATAAAACGCTGATCCAAAACGATAACTCACTATATTAGCACTGTTTCCTATGGTAACGATATTTTCTTTAAAATAGCTATTTTAGAATAGTTTAAACCGTGTTTAACATGGTTTACAGTACTGTGGATATTATTGAGTATGCTTTCGCCTAGGGAGCTAATTGTGTAATGTTATGCTCTATACCGCACCTGTAGTCAACCGAAGCACCAGGATGCTGAAGACATTTCAACAAGCTTTGTTTTCTACTGGTCTGCAGTTACCCCCATGGAAACCTGTTGAGTGTAAGGTGAGTGTATTAACTGAGCTTTGCAATGACTGCTTTATGTGTACAACATTTCAGTTCATTATTGTTTTTCTTCAAATGTAGCAAGTCTGTCAACTTTGGCTCCTTTGTTTTTTTCTCTCTGTTTCGGGGGAGGGTAATTTCTTGTCCCTTTCTAGAAAATTATATTGTTGCAAAATACTTATAATGAAACTTTCTTGGCAGGCGGTATTCTTTCACATTAGTTGCTTCTTTGGGTTTCTTTCACATAATTGGCTACTGCCAGTAAGTAGATATGACTAGATGTATATTTCAGAGCTAGATAAATTTGTGATTTGTAAACCCAGCCCTACGAAAAAATGCAGATTTACCCCAGTTTCTGCACTTTGACATAAGTCACTGCAGAGTTTCTAGTAAAATAATGAACATGCACAACTAATAATGGTAAGTTTGCCAAGAAAATTTGTTGACAAGGAAAGCTCAGGAGATATAACATACCCAAGTTATATTGGCTGTGGATTTGGCCTCAGCTGTCCTAAATCGTATTTGTTCTTGATGTCATTTTCTCCATTTAAAAAACTGTATGTATGTAAGTCCCTTCTTTGCTTCACATTTGTCTTTTGTGTCCCACCTCCACCTCATCTCCACTTCGGCAGCTGCCCTTTGGTCACTCCTCCGTCTGCATGAGTGTCCTGCCTTCTTACTTAATAGAGGAGACTTACCTCTATTAAAACAACAGTGTTCCCTGATTAATGTCAGGTCATATGGTGTAATTTAGCCACTCTAAATCATTATGAGTGTTTGGGATTTCGTAAGTGGCTTCAAATTAACTTGGGATTTGACTTAAGTATTAGAAATCCTAAGAGGTCTGCAGAAGGGACTACTTTAATCATGAAGAGCACAGTGGCACATGTGAAATTTAACAGGTGATACATTACAAAAAAGCGTTATGGGTATCTGAAGCAAGTTTTTGCAGGTGAAGCTGGAATCCTTAAAGAACAACTGTGATTTTGGTATGGAACAGCTTCTCACAACTAAACCATCACAATGAGCCAGAAAGCATTCTCTCATTCTCTCATTTTCTCTTCACAGGAGCTGTGTTATTTGGAAAAGCTGTTATGCTGTCTCTTTTTTTCTAGGCTCAAGATTATGAAATACGAACCTATGAAACAACAAAGTGGGCAAGCACTTCTGGGAGTGGAATGCAGTATGATTCAGCCATTAACACAGGATTCATGCGACTGTTTAATTATATTCAGGGGAATAATGAAAAAAGTGAGTAAACATCTGCTTTTTGTGTCTGTTCCACGATTGGAATATGAAAGAGAGTACAGATGAAATTAGGTAGACTACTGTCGTTTTTTCTAAAAAGAGGAATATAGGATTTTCTGGTTAAAATATTACTTTCTCAAAGCTTTATAGTCATGCCTCAAAATGTATATTGATGCTGAATGAATAGCCTTTTATTTTAACTATCGCCAAGGATCTAACTATTTTATGGGAAACCATAATTCAGATATAATTGGTTAATGAGTAATAAGAGATACCATTTCTTTGTGCTATTGCTTAAGATTAGCCTCTGTTTACTCTAAAACTTTTTTATTTCTTGAAAAGAACAAAAAACGAAAAAAGAAGAAATAAAAATTTAAATTATTTTGCTGTTAGCCTCAAATCATTTTTTCATTTAATATAAATCTGGTCACATATTTATGAGAAGATTCTTCTGCTTCATACAAGGGTGGTATGCTATTACACTTGAGGTTGTTTTCTGTAAATTAGATATAAAGAATGGACTAGGAGAAGACTGATTTTTATTGGTTCACTATTGAAATGATAGCATGAAAGCTTGATGTATGGTACTATGTAGTTGGTCAATAAGAAATAATCATTTTGGGGGAATATCAGTTACATTCGGAAAATATTTAATACTTTTTTGCTTATTATACCTTATACCGATGCACAAAAGAAATGCACCAAGGTCTAATGGATGTAGTCAGATATTGATAAACACAGTCACATCAAATGTTCATAAAAATACAGATAAAAATGATAGGTTTTCTGTTTAAAATGAGACACTGTCAAAAGGAAAACATTACACATTTAGTATCTGGTATGGCTTCCCTGAGGATGAAACCAGTCCTTGAATAGACCTGGTCAGGTTCTGGAGAGATTGCCTTGGGATTTTTACTGCTCTGCCTCCCTGTGCAGCTTAAGCCAGCTGGTGAAGGCTGGCTGGTCACAGTTGCCTCCTGTTGATGACATTCCAAGTTGGACTTGGAACAGGAGAAAAGGCTGGCAGACGCAAAGCATTGTTTAGTTGAAGTTGTGCCCTTGAAGTCTTAGTAGATTTTGATCTTGCATTGTCCTGATTTCCTTGACTCTATGGAAAAATATTGGAACTACTGTAGACTCATGTTCTGTTTGAGTGGATTGCTGTTCTGCTCCTGAGTTTGCAGTCTCCATCATACCTGAATGATCCAAATTGTCCACCTAAAAGGTAGCTTTGTTTTTGGAAAAAAAATGTGCCTTTTTTATGTGATAATCTTTGTATTCTTTCCTTAGGATAATGGCTGCTTTATCAATACAAATTGAAGGAAAGGTTAAAATTAGAGAATAGGTTGACTCACACCCGCGTCCGAGTGCGGGTTTACTTGCGGGTCAGGTGGACTCAGGTTAAAAAAAATGATTTTAGATAGGGTCGGGTGGGTGTGGG